CTCCCTTCTTAATTCCCTTATAAGTTTTAACTACATAAAGTGGTTCAAAAAATTTAAAACAAATAAACACAACAATCATCAAGATGAGTTACATTACTTTCTACTTCCAAACATAACCAACTATTGAAAATTAGTTCACAACAATTGTTCAAAAAATTAAACCAACATAACCAACCAAACCCTAAACCATTTAATCATCAATGATAATATACCTCATATATTGGAAATTTGAAATACCCTTCAATCACAAGATGAGTTAGACTACCTTCCACTCCCGAAGAGAAAAACTCTACACAAAGTTGGACACACAAGTTAGCTAAAATCATAAATAATGATGGAAAATATATAATTATAATTGAAAGTTAATAAAAAATGTCACCTGACTCAATTTTAGATAATTCCTCCAAGCTTTCCTCAATGGTCAATGGTCCACGCGTATTCCTAATCCAATCCTGTGTACAGATAAGAGCCTCTTCCATCTTAGTAGTGAGGGAGCTACGAAATGGATCTAATACACGACTCCTTATACTAAAAGCCGACTCAGATGCAACCGTTGAAACATGCATAGCCAACACATCTCGTGCTATTATAGAGAGTACAACATATTTTGTTGAATTAGTCTTCCACCAATTCAAGATATCAAAAGTTTTGTCGTTGTCATCCTCACAATCGTCCACTAAATACTTATCCAACTCCGTTTTATGCTCAACAGCTTTCTTTGCAGCCTTTTTCTCATTATACATAACCCTCATGAAGTCCTTATTATCAACATTTGCATCATGCACATCAATGTCAATTGAAACTTGAGATTTCTCACTTGACTGCTCATTGTCATCCATCATAAGCAAATTGTATTGCTCAAATAAAGACAACAAATCTTCCTTCACTTTTCTCATCAACTTGTCAGCTACAACAACATCATATGCCTCATTAACTACCCAGTCCACATATTCCAATTTGTGCCTAGGATCCAGTATCTCTGCAATGAATAAAATAATGTTGATATTATCAACATTTGACCAATACTTATCAAATTTCAGTTTCATTCGTGTAGCCATATTACGTAAGCCAAGATCAGGATTTTACACCATGTTGAAATCTTCAACCCAATGTCGAAAATCTCTCACATGTATGCATTACTAGTAACATAAAGAGACCTAGAGACACATAGAGTAGCATCGTAAAATACTTTCAAGAAAGGTAACAAGTAATGAGCATACTCCCAATCAGTACTCATAGGCAAACCTCGTGACCTATCACCACTAGTAAGCTCATCTGCATACTTACTATCTTCCAATGCCAACAACTCAAAAACTTTATGAAATTTTAATGCCGCTTCCAACATCAAGTATGTAGAGTTCCACCGGGTTTCTACATCAAGAACCAAATGACTTTTACTTGCGATTTTTTCTTTCTCCACACGCCCCTTAAATCTTTGTAACCTTGCTAGAGAAGACCTTACATACCTCACTGTTGAACGTATTCTAAATATGGAGTCATCCATTTCCTTTAACCCCTCTTTCACAATTAAACTCAAAATATGTGCACAACATCTCATATGTAGAAAATCACCATCCAATACACTTCCCTTCCAACTTGCTAGTCTAGTCTTGAGACAGCTTACCCCAACATCATTAGAACTAGCATTGTCTACTGTGATTGTGAATACCTTATAAATGCCCCAATCAAGTAAACACCTCTCAACTGCCTTGCCAATCGTTATACCTTTATGACTAGTGATTGGACATAAATTTAAAATTCTTTTCTGTAGCTGCCAATGATCATCAATGAAATGCGCAGTAAAACACATATAATTAAGATTTTGAACGCTTGTCCATGTATCAATCGTCAGACAAACTCTGTGTGAAAACTTACTGAAAAACTTCTTCAACTTTTGGCACTCTCCAATATACATTTTGAAGCAACCTTTAGTCACGGTTCTCTGGCAAGGTACTTGAAACCTAGGTTGTGTCACCTTTATCACGTTGCGGAACCCCTTACGCTCCACAAAACTAAAAGGTAACTCATCAACAATTATCATTTTTTCTATAGACTCTCTAATTAGATCTGGATCATATTTCCATGACACCAATGAAGATTGTGCGGAGAGGGCAATGCTGCTTGAGAGATCACATGATCCTTGTTGAAAAATTAGGGTCTTCTGTCTTTTGTTTGCCACATTTGGAGGATACTTTTTGCATCTATTTAAATGGTTACGTAGACAACTCGTACCACTCTTACTCGGACATCCAAGAACACTACCACAATAACTACATGTCGCAGTCAAATTATCCTTATTCTCACAATCGCTCTTAACAAAGTGATCCCACATTTGAGAACTATTCTTCCTAACACTTGTATCCCTTGCACGTTTGGGTGTTAAAGGTGTTGGTGGTGGCATAGAGTTGGAGTCGTACTTGTTGGTGTCTCATGAGTATTGTCAACAGCCGATGACATCTACAATTCCATCAAATAAAAATATGCATTAAGTAAATAAGACATCCATATAAATCATATTCTTTTATTCATTAACAATAACTAAAAATAAAAGAGAAAATTTTGGACATGTAAATTATAAGGATATCCATCAATTAATAATAAAACATAAGGCCACCAGTTTACACATAGTCATGGGTTCATCCAAATCGAACACAAATTCAATTCAATTTGCACAATTTCAATATAATGTATGCCCCATACAGTCACTCAATACGAGAATGCAAATTTGACTACTTTACTACATCACTCATCTCAAAATTCTGTTTCTTAAATTAATTAAACCTTTTTTTTTTTTTTTGTAATTTTAAATGTATAAGGTATTAGACTTTTTATTACAAATAGATCACTTAAAATGCAAAAGTTTCATATTTAAAAATCGAAGTTCCATTTATCTGGTTATTTAAAAATTGAAGATGATAACTACAGTTTTTGAAGGTAAAAATAACTTTATTTGGATGATAACTACAGTACAGTGAGAGGAAAGTGAAAGTCAAGAGTTTGACTGAAATATTAAAAAATGTAATGACATTTTTACCCTTCAAGACCTAACCAATGTCTGATGGTTTTGGAGACAAGAAAATAAGCATCAGGGTCACTTAGGAAAAGCTACAAAGATGAGGTGTCGTTATCAGGAAACATAAGAAAAACTTTCAACAAGGGGTAGGGTGAGCAAGTAAATGGATGGAGATTTGAGGATTAACATCAACCAAGTTCATACAGTTCATATTGCTATGATGCATGTAATTCACATGCAAATGGAATTGGGTTACCTAATACGAGAATGCAGGATGAGAAATGGCGAGGAAGAACTTTCTGCAGAAAGCAGATGCTCTAAATCAACTAGAGGAAAAGCTAGCTCCTCATTCAAAATATCCATGGAGTTCAATTATCAGACTTAACAGCTAGAAGATAAACAGACCCCTTCACATGATTAGAATGACTCTAGGTGTATGAACTTCTCTTACACAACTTAAAAATGACAAGGATCATTGGATCCTGACCCAAAAAAAAAAAAAAAATACAAAATGACAATAATTAAGCCTTGAAAAGCAGACCCATATCAAGAAGGATAAAGATTAATAATCCTTGTTAATACACCACATAAATTTCATTGTTTCTAACCTAGCTTTTTGTATCCAGAACCAAAAACAAACCCAAAATAAACTGAAGAAGTTCCATACAAATGGCAAATTTTGAAAGCAGTAAAACATTGCATACTCAAACAAAATTTAAATAGTTCTATAAAATGTCTCAATATTTATTGGATCTGTTGCTGAATTAGAAGATATTGGTGGTGGAGCAGGGGAGCAGCTTGAGGATTGCAGTTGCAGATCTGAATAGCGGTGGAAACTGGAGTTGTGGTGGTCAACTCTGGACTGTCGTGACGTCGTCGCTGTTCCTGGTTGAGGATTGCAATCGTAGAGCAGCGGTTGTGGACTGTGATTTGTGGGTGGTTGTTGTGGTGATGCTGTGGACTGTGGGTGAGTGGGGGTTGCTATGAAGTACAGCGCAACAACTGTGGACTATCGTCGTTGGTGAGTGGGTGGTTGTTTTGCTGACTGGTGTTGCTGGGTGAGTGGGTGTCAGCGAAATGGATGCTGGAGTGGATGGGTGTGGGACTATCAACTCACTGTGGGTGGAGCTGTTCGGTGCTGGAGAAAAGGCAAAGTGCAAAGAAATGAAGAATTGAAGATGGATGGAGTGGAGTGGAGTGAGTGGAGTCTGCTCAGTCTGGTGTGGAGTGTGCACTGTGGAGATTGGAGCTTGGAGGCAGAGAAGAGAAATAGAGAAGTAGAGAATACTGCAAATAAATAAATAAATAAATAAAGACTTGCTTATATATTTAGGGTATTACCGATTTTAAAAACCGGTCCAGTTAACCGATTTGAGATATTTCTCAAACCAAAAACCGAACCGGTTTTTTGGTTTTTAAAATTTTTTAAACCAAACCAATTTGTAAAAAAAACCTAATTTTCCGTTCAGTTTCGGACCGGTTTCCGGTTCGGTTCGGTTTCTAGATTATTTCTCATATATATAATCCTAAGGCATAGGTTATATGATTGCCATTTTGAGGTGGTAGAATTCCTTCATTTTGCCATGTAGGAAGATTGTAGTACAGATGGTTGCATTTGATTGGGGCTGAATTGGATTCTTAACATTTGGTTGGATGTTATTGGTCATGATGCGAAATAGATTGATGAGTTGGATTTGATGGAATATTGTTAGACATGTGACATCATGTAATTGAGGCATCCAAAGGTCTAATTAAATCTTGATTAATTTTCAAATAAATACAAACCATTCACATTCACATCCTTTATTTCGACATGGTAGCATTATGTAATTGGGACATTGGATGTCTAATTAAAATTTAGATTAATTTTCACGTAAACACATACTATTCACATGCACGTTCACATATAAACGTTTCAAATTTATTAGTCCTTTCACATTCATCAGAATTGGCATTCCAAAGGTCTACGTGAAAAGATATAAAGATTAGAGTCATTCTCTTTATATAAACACCGACTCTTCACATTCACATTAATTTCGCATAAACACAGAAGCTTAACATTCATATTCAAATACAAACACTCCAATAGGCTAAAAAGAGTCGTCATTGTTTTTGCTTCTCCGTATCTGAAATGAATCAGAAAGACTTAAGTGTTCTCAATTTCTCTTTGCTTTTTTTAATTATTTTTCTTGGTTTTTATGTGTGATTGCTACTTTCTCTTTCATTTGCAGTCCTTCCCAAACAAAGACATGTCGTTGAGGCTTAGCACTCAGACGAAGGTGAGAAAGAAGGGGTACAAGAGTGGCGTCGATGTGGAGGAGGCACGCCGGCGGAGAGAGGACAATTTGATGGAGATCAGAAAGAAAATAAGAGAAGATAATTTGTTGAAGAAGAGACGTGAAGGTCTCTTGCTTCAGTCTCAACCACTTCTCGATGCCTCTTAAAACGCCGCCACCGCCATTGAAAAGAAGGTACCTACTTGCTTCCTGATTTTGTTTCTGCATTGATCTTTGCTTCATGGGTTTTTTTGTGGAAATTGATTCAATCGTTGTTTTGTGATAATTATGATGATTATTATGATAATTTTTTTTCAGAGTTCTTCGAGCATATCGGGTTTCATAGGTGGGCGTGAGGCGAGGCCAAAGATATCACACACCTTAATAATTCATTCAATCGCCCATGGATTCCAATTCACAGCAGCCACCAGGTCCGTTTTAATTCGATAGAAAGTTTTAATCTTTCTCCAATTTTGGTTTCTGGATTGGTTTTGTTGATCAATTTTCTTTTAGGGTTTTCATCTTTTAATTTGTGCCAAGAATCATGACAAGAAGTTGTTTCTTTTTTATGGTTGTGTTTAGTTTTTTTGTATAATGATTTGTATGGTCCTGATAGGTTTATCTTTAGTTTTTGCTATTGATTTCATATTTGGTAATTGATGGGTTGTCTTTAATTTTGGTAAAGGCATAGCTTTATCACTTTTGAGGCCACTAGCGGGGACTTGGTACCCTTATTGTGTCAGTTATAATGTAAAGGTAGTAGCTTTATTCAACCAGACATTGTCTTTATGATTTGTTAATTTATGTGTGATTGCTTTATTTGAAGGTACTGAAACCTAGGAAGAGGTTAGTGAAGAAGGATGGATCAATTGGGCTGGAGAAACTATTAGCAACAAGGATCGTTGCACAATGTGTAAGGATGAGAAGGTTGTTCAAGAGAAGAAGGTGTTGGAATTAGTAGTTGAGAAGGGTATGCAAAATGGACAAAAGATTACATTCCCAGGAGAAACTGATGAAGCTGTAAGTGAATAATTCATTTTTAGTTTTATTAGATTTTGTTTGATCTTAGAGAAAATTGACTACCAAGGAAAGAAAAATGGAACTTGGAGTTTTATGTTATTTTTCATTCCGTTTTTAAGTAATGTCGATACGGCGGTTGAAAGATATGCGTTTTTAGTTTTGTGAAATATGTTTTTCTTGCAAAGAAAATTGAGGAATACAGCTTAGGGAAAAGATATGTACTGAAAATACATACTTTTTTTTCTCAAGTTTCTTAGCCGCCAAACAGAGTTGAGAATTAACTTTTTCAGTAATTAATTATTTGATCCGCATAATTGTAAACTAATTATTACGTAATTTGCAAGAATATGTATACAGCAGGCTCTAATTCAAGTATACTTTGCATATAAGTACTGTTGTATTTGGTAACATTTTAATGATTTTCTTTAAGTATTTGTCAATTTGTGATCTGGAATATCAAGGATTAGTTTGTAAATTTTGATCCATGGATACCTTTTATTTTCCCAATTATGGTTGGTACTTCACATTTGTTCAAGGATTCGTCTATAACGTTCTCATTTATCTTCAAGGTTTCACCACTAAATAGATGGTGAATCCATGGAAGACTTGTGTGAAGCTATCTGCAGTTTTAATGGGTTCTCATGGACTTACCAAAGGGTCTTTGACTTTTCTTAACTATCCAGCACAGCTCATGTTCAAATCCACAAAGGTAAATATTCAACTCCATTACTATTTTTAATTTCATGTTGAAAAATCAGTTTATGTTTGATAGTCAAATTGGGTCTCTTAATCTGTAATTGTGTAGATGACTCAAATTAGCTCATTGACTCTTTCTATGTGAATCAAGTAAATGGGATCAATTTGGCTATAATTGGAAATTTATTTTGTCATCTCAGGTTTTGCCCATAATGGTCATGGGCGCATTCACATCGGGCCTCAAACGAAAATACCCAGTTTATGAATATGTATTTGCAATACTTTTAGTTGTGGGGTTGATCCTTTTTACCTTAGTAGGTGCACAAACTTCACCAAATTTTAGTATGATTGGTGTTATAATGGTATCAGGTGCTCCAGTAATGGATTCCTTTCTTGGTAATTTGCAAAAAACAATCTTTACTATGAATCCTGAAACCACCTAGGTGACTAAACTGTACTATGCTTTAGTGTTATTTCTTAAATTGAAAAATTGTGACTTTATTATATCTAGATATCATCTTTCTCTATGACTTCTATTAGTTTCAATCTTAATTGTTTTATTTCATTTATTTATTATTCAATTGGTGAATGTAAAGAAGAGATCTATCGTTTTTACAGGTATAGAGAACTGGGTTTCTCAAATTTTCACCTTCTGTGGTTTTAAGTTTCAGAATTATATTAATTTGAGCTAGAAAGGCCTGATTTTCAGTCCATAGACTCATCAAATTCAATTCCAAGTCTTGCAAATTTCACAGGTTAGGAGTGTTAAAATCACATCTAACTTAAATTTGATCTTTAAAGTTACTAGATAATTGGAAGCTAATTATGTGTTTGGTGTGCATAGATATTGTTGGAGTGTACTGAATAATTGAAGTCTGAGATTTTGTGAAATTTGGTTGTTGAAAATGACAATTGCAAATAATTTACCGAAAGAGAAGAAATACAACAGTACCAAACAAAGTTTTATTGTACAACAAATTTTGTGTATACAGATATTAAAATTAGTTTTCGTATTACATAACACTGGAGAGAATACTATAATAATGTTGCAGTTACTTTGATTGAAATTGCAGTGAATAGTGGGCTTCTTGAGCTTTTGGCATTGAACGGAGGTGCGATTACACATTTTTCTTGGTCTTTATACATATGGGTTGGCTGTGGCAATTGCAGAAACAGGTCTTTTAGCGAAACTGACATTTTTACAAAGCAGGAGAAGTGTATCTAAATGGTGTCCAGAATTCATGGTTGTTAACAATTCAAGACTGGGGTTAGCCTTGCTCAATGGTATTATAATATTGGTGGTTATTTGACCCGAGTACCATGTTCGCCAAACTAAACTCAAGTACTCAAATTCTGGGGCTTCTCTTCTTGCTGAAAGAAGAGAAAATGATAGATCGAGATAATAAGATTGAATTGTAGAAGTTAGATTGATATATACATGTTTTCTGTGCTAAAGTTGTTCATTTGTTTTTTTACAGTTAAGTTGATAGATATATTGCTTAAAATTTTTGGTAAATAGTGGAACAAAATGATGATTGCTTTGAGATTTCCACATATTATATGTGGAGTTTTTAACATTTATTGGTAATTTTACTATAAAGAGTTAAACGATTTCGTGGTGCAATGCAATATGAGAAGACTTGGCCAGGAACTTCCAATTTATTATTATTATTTTCATAAAGGACAAGATAAAGAAAGAAGGTCAAGAACAAAGAGTTTGTTTTATGTGTTACTTAAATGGGTGGAGAATCTAGAGATACAACTACCAGAATCTATCCAGTATAACCCTAAAATGAAGGTGATTTGTTATAATACCGAGTGGTGGTTTTGATGAATTTAATGGAACTTCCTTTACTGGGGCAATGTTTAATTTATCAAGTATCAACTACCATTGTTGGAGCTGGAATCATGCCTTGCCTGCAACCATGAAAGTGCTTGATCTTGGTCTTGGTATTGCTTTGATCATCTTTATGGCCGTATTGACCGAGGCTTCAATCGAGTTGTTGCTCAGGTTCAGTAGGGCAGGGAAATAAGTTTCTTATGGTGGTCTTATGGGGCAAGCATTTGGAAAGTGTGGGAAGAGTTTGTTGCAGGTTTGTGTTTTAGGCTTTTAGTCAACAACATTGGTATTATTGAGAGAAAAGTGCTCCAACTCCTCTTCTTTTGCTTTAAAAGTGAATATATTTCTATTACTAAAATATTCCGTTATTATTTCGTTCTTTAATTAATTGATTAATTAGTTTTTTTTTTTTTTTTATGTCAAAATCATTTTCATAAGCAACCTGCGAACCTTTTAACTTGTGATATTTAATTACCCAAAAAAAAAAAAAAAGATTTAACACAAGTTTTAATTGATATTTTTATTAGTTTGTAATTAAATTTTTTATTGATTTGGAATTTATTCGCTTATTAAGTTGCGATTAAAGATGATTAGTTATTATTTTAGAAATGCATTTATTATACCAATTTAGATAAACGCTGACTAACGGTGGCTGCATGGAACGTTGACGGTTTCTCTAGAAAAACGAGACTTGGGAACTTGTTGATCTTTCACCGGGAAAGAAGATTGTTGGATGTCAATGGGTTTGCACTGTGAAGTACAAAGCTGATGGTATGATTGAATGATTTAAAGCAAGACTAGTAGGAAACGGGTACACCTAAACTCATGGGATAAACTACATAGAGACATTTGCACTCGTAGCCAAAATCAACACAGTAAGTGTCTTGTTATCTTTGGTTGCAAACTTGGATTGGACATTACATCAGTTCGATGTGAAAAATGTTTTCCTACATGGAGAATTGTCTTAAGAGATCTATATGGATCCTCCAACAGCGTGTATTTTACCAAGGAAGCATAGTCAAAAGGTATGTAAGTTAAAGAAGTCATTGTATGGGTTAAAACAATCTTTGAGGGCATGGTTTGGGAGGTTCACCAAAGCTATGAAATTTTTTGGCTATCATCAGAGCAGTTTAGATCACACTCTGTTCCTTAAAAAACAGCAAAGAAAGATCACTGCACTTATTGTATATGTGGATGATATGGTAGTTACAGGAAATGTTACAGAAGAGAGGAAGACTCTACAAAAGTACTTATCAAAAGGATTCGAGATGAATAACCTAGGTTCTTTAAAATATTTTCTTATAATTGAAGTGTCTCTATCTAACAAAGGTATCTTTCTATCACAAAGAAAGTATGCCTTAAATGTGCTACAGGAAACTAGTATGTCAGCATGTCAACGAGCTGATACACCAATCAAAGAAGGTGTAGAATTAGGAGTCAAGACTAATCAAGTACCAATTGACAAAGGGAGATACCAGAGACTTGTGGGAAGATTGATGTACTGTCTCACACTAGGCTAGATCTTACTTTTGTATTGAGTATAGTCAATCAGTTCATGCATAATCCTAGAGAGCAGTATATGAATGCAATTATGTGTATTCTGAGATATTTAAAAGATGTCCCTGAAAAGGGAATCTTATTTTCTAAAAATAAGGACTACCAAACTATGCATGCATATATTGATGTTGATTGGGCTAGAGCAATGGATGACAGACGATATACTTCTAATTATTTCACTTTTGTATGAGGTAATCTAGTTACATGGAGAAGCAAGAAACAGAATGTTGTGGCACGCTTAAGTGTGGAAGCTGAATTTAGGGGAATGACACTTGGGATTTGTGAAACTTTGTGGCTAAGATTTCTACTGCAAGATTTAGGCTATCAACCTAATCAACCAATCCAGTTATATTGTGACAACAAGTAGTATGTGACATTGCTCACAATCCAGTTCAACATGATCTTATGAAGCGTGTTGAAGTAGATAGATTTTTCATCAACGAAAAACTAGATGAAAATATTATTGAATTGCCCATTCGATCAGAGGATCATTTGGCCGATATTCTTACCAAGGTTTTCTTCAAACGTATTTTCTCACAACTGTTAGACAGGTTAGGCATGTGCGACATCTGTGCAGTAACTTGAGGGGGAGTGTTGAGATTTTCATAATATTGTGTAAATCTTCTACAATGCTGTAAATATTATGTAATATTTTAGTTATGTCAAGTATACGATCTTAGAATATTCTAAAGATTATGCAATCTCCTAATTGTTAGACAAAATATTATGTAAACATAATTAGGGGATTTAGGAGATCGTAAATTCCATATACAAAGGATGTAACTCTTTAGTGATGAATCAACGAATTTAAAATACAATTCTTCAAATTACATTATAAGTGACAACATTAGGCTTATAACCCTTACTTTCCATAGAGATTAGTAGCTCCCTTGCATCATCAAATCTATGCAGCAAGCAATAACCATTATTAAACAAAAGAAATAGCGTGCTTCATCAAGAGTGATATTACCTTGTTTACAATTTTTTTGAAGGAATTTATCAAGCCTCGCTACCTCCTCAACGTTATGTACCAGATCTTGTGGTATATTTATAGTCTCCTTTCTTGGTTTTGTGAATGAAGAAAGAGAAGAAGAAAAACGATGAATCAAGCTTTTGAGCTCCATTTTAGCAACATTGTTTATGAATTATTTATTGAGGGTTCAAACTAGCTTAGTCTTTTGAGCACCATCTTTCGATTTTATATATTTTTTATTTACATTTTCATCTTACTTAAAATTGAAAATGGGGGGCTTAATAGAAAATAGGTAGGGGCTATTTAGCATCACTCTTTAATCTTTATTGATATGATTAAATTTTTTATTACTAATATCATTTACACCTTAATGTTGAAAAGAATGTAAAAATGCATGAAAAAATTTAAACTTTGATAACTAATTTATAAAAATGTGTACAAAAATAATTCGGATACAATCATTAAAGCTAGTGCAGAGTCGGAAAACGAACACAACTGTCTTGTCTTAGTTTTAGTAAAGAAAACAGTTTTTTAATATTGTATTAAACCCGCTTTCTAATTTGGAAAATATATTAAGATACAATTAGGCTCCATTTAGTTCATTATTCTGATAGTTTTTAGAATAATCTTTTGAAAAAAGTTAAATTGGGTGGGTATTACGATGTAGGATTTGGAAATTAATAAAAATATCCCTTATATTTGTTTATTTACTAAACACCACTATAATAAAATATTAAAAGTTAACAAAAATACCTCCAATCCACCTATTAAATACGGACAGCCGGCCACCACCGTCGGAGGGTGGCCGGAGTGTTTTTGCAATTTCTAAAAAAAATATTTGGGGGTGTTTAGTTAAATTAACAAATTTAGGAGGTTTAAAAGAAATTAAAAAATATAGAATAATATTTTGAGAATAATGACATTTTACTGTTTAACTTTTTTGGGAATACTAATAATAGTATTCCCAAAAATATTCCCAAAAACGAAACAAATGGAGCCTTAAGGTTTCCGAAAATTCTTTTTAGATTACAAATCAAATACGGTACAAATACTTAGACTTACATACATGTGTTTCAACAAGGAAAATGACAATTTCATCCTTGAAGTTTGGCTTAAGTAATCTTTAGTCTTATATAATTTTTTAGCAACGTTTTAGTCTCTGCTTTGCCGGCAACGTTTTGTCTCGATCATTGGGAAACTTCTAATGCCAAAATGTTACTAAGAGGGATCAAAACGTTACCAAAACATTATATAAAAACTAAAGTTGTTTAAGTTAAACATTAGGGATGAGAATGTCATTATATACTTTATTTTTTTCCTCGTAAGTTAAAATACGAGCGTTGGAATTGCCTTTCCTTATTGCATGCATGATATCTGTAACTATATAGATTGCTTTAGAATTCACTTTCCGATCAGCTGCAAATAGATCATGGAGATTGTGCATTATCAAATGGATTAATTTCCTCCAGGACTATGTAATTTGATTTGTAACTTTTAAACCCATTTTCTTCATGTGGTGGATGTGTATTGGAGAAATATTAGCAAATTACAAAGAACAAAAGAAAAATGCTAAGAATATACTATAGGATCTTAGTTTCTTCTATATTTTGGTAAATACTGAGAGCTAGTGACTTATGATTTTCCTTTGAAAAGGGTTTACAAGAAACGTACCATATGTGGCTATAAGTATGGTTATATACTCTTTCAGTAGAGATATATATGATAGATGTAATGTATTTTAGTACGTATTCGATTCCTTATGTAAAGGAGTGTCTATCATGAGATTGTACATATACTAGATGGCATGCGTGTGCATTGCGCAGGTTTATTTATTAAATTATTTTTATTTTATTATTAAATTTTTATATTTTAAGAAATCGTAAACGATTATTGTTTTAAAAAAAAATGTCAAATATTAATTATAATAGAATATTTTGTTATTATTATTTTTTATTTTTTTATCGGGTTTTTTATGTTTAAAGAATTTTTTCTTTGGAAAGTTTTGGTTCGATTAAAGTAGAGTATCTTCTGGCATAATGAGAGAGTTGTTATCTTTTATTCATAAGAAAAATACATAAAGTTTAGTTATAAATTGAAGACTGTAATAACATCTGTAATGGCAAGAGAAATTGTTTCAACATCAGATGGTCCGCCTGAACTGGAAGGTATTCTACAAAATCTTAAAGCCATGTTGGACAAACTCAACACTGCCAGAGTGATGAACAGAGATATTATGAATGCTTTGTTAAAAATAACAGGCTCAACCATGCATGTAATATTCGATTTACTGAAATGTGAATCCCTGATTATTGCCAAAGAAAAGGAACCTGGTATTCCTCAAGGAAAAAAATAGAACTATGTCTGATGTTGTTGCTTGGGACGATAAAGAAAAGGAACTTGGGAAGATAAATTTACAAATTTCTAAGGTTTTGTAGAATATCTTCTAGTCCAGACGGATCATTTGATACTACTATTTGAACTGCAAAACACCAAGCAATGAACGTGTAAAAGTAGATATGTAGAAGGCATATAAGAAAAATCAGTTGATGTTATTTATTGTATGTTTCTGTTAGTTTGGATTTTGGATTGACAATAATTGGTCTTTTGTCTTACATTTGTTCATGATATTTGTGTGAAATAAAATAAATATTTGAAGGTGTATTCGTTGTTAATATACAATTGATTCAATATTATTACAATCATTGATAAAAAAATATAAGCATGTCTATTATTTTTGTTTTAGGTACTTAGTTTTTTAATTAGAATATTTAATATTTATTATATGATGTTAATTATCGATTTAAAAGTATTTATATTAGTATGTGTTGTTATTATAATCATAAAAAACAATATAATGTGGATTATCTTTATCTTTTATTCATATTAATAATGTACATAGATCATGTCAGATTATTCCATAAGGGATATCAAGTGCTATTTCTTTTGCAATTATCAGAGATCGACGTTGATTCAGATCCGAGATTATAGCCATGATTGAGTCTGTTATTTCTAATAAGCCATTCATCATTTCTCTGTTCTTCTCTCTAGCAGTAGACAATTTCTCCATGTTGGCTTTTACGTTTTGCAGGATATCTTTCAGTTCGACAGGCTTATCTAACATTGTTGTTTCAATTGTAGGAATGAAAAACAAACTTATAAGTGTAGATGTATAGGAGAAATATTAGAGAAATTGTTGGGGAAAAATAAGAGATATTTTTCGATCTTATTTACCGCTTGCTCTTGCTTTTTTGGCTTCTAGATTGATAATTATTGGTTTCTTGTCTACCATTCGTTAACAATATGCAAATGAATTGAGAATAAAGATTTGAGGATGTTTGAGTTGTTGAACTGGTTATGTTTACATGCATATAAATAATAGTGAATGGCATTTTACAAAGAAAGAATATAAACAGATATAATGCGAACAGGCAACTGTTCATTAAATAATATTATTTGTTAAGTTATGTTTAAAGCAACTATTCATTCTTTGTACACTGTATCTGGAATCATGTTTTGTTGGTTTTTTGGTTTCTGGGTTGACAATGGTTCGTCTTCTGTCTGATATTTGTTAATGATATGTCAGTAATATGATATAATTAAAGTAACTATTTGTATTTTGTTCAATGTAATTGGAATATTTAATATTTCAACTTTTGGATTATCAGTAATATAGTTTCACCGAAGTCAGCAATATATTTTATCAATCGGATTATATTTATGTTTATCTATGCAGGAAAATATGTAATATATGTGTTGAATATATGTGAATCATCATGACTCAATCAAATTAAGATAGGCATGTGAAAGATATTAACAACCAATATTGTTTGTCCAATTGTTATTTTTTCCATTTTAGTTATTCAATTCATTTGCAATTTTATTAACTAATAACTGTAGATTTAATATGAATGTGGTATGATTATAAATAATTTTAAATCTATTTAGACTATTTTATTATTATTGCATATAATTTTTTTTTTTTTGATACAATTACAATAGAAATACAATATGTGTATTCTTATGTATAGCGTATGTTGCGAAATCGTTTCACTAAACAGATAACTCGATTCTACAAATAACATGACAATTGTAAATAATAGTAACAATCATTCAAATCAATACCAAACAAGAAGATTATAGAAGCCAAGATAAATACGAATAGTTTTGAGAGAGTAATTGAATGGAATGATTCAGCTTGTCTGGAGGCTTTTAAAAGGGCCAACCTTTGATAGAGGTTAAAGATTTATTAGGAAAAACACAGATGAACATGTAATTGTACAGAAACAGTATAAAATGCAACAAAACATTGTTCAGCAATTGTTCGTAATAATATAACACACATTGTTTGGTAATGTGTGATTCTATACAATAATATATGTACCGGGAAAAACATGTATAAAAAATATTTTCACTCATATCATTGAATTAATCTAGAGTGAATACATATGTCTCATTTTTATTACATATTGTATTTAAGACATACTATTTCATAATCTATAGAGCATCTCTTGCAATTGATATCACTTGGCCTTGTTATTCTGTCCCAGATCCTTCGCTTGAGGAGAATGTTTGTTGTTGGAGTCATGGACTTCTTGTTGGAGTCATGGATTTGAAAGGCTCTCGGCAATTCCTCATCCTTTGAAAAGAATCCGGTTGTTGTACCAATTTGAGAAGACGTTGTATACCATTGTCATCATATATTTTTAGCAAAGCAACCGCAAAAATATATAGTGCTTGCATATTTTGTCTTTTACAGGCTGCACCCAGCATAGGTATACTTGTGTAAATATCATGTTTGATAAATACTAAATGTGTTCCAAGTAGTAATAATACATGTTCATTTTTTATGTTTGCCAAGATTTGTAAAATTGAAAGTCCTTCTATTGTAATTACCGGTAGCTTGTGTCTTTGTTTGAAGATGTTTCTTTTACGCAGCACTTGTTTTGAGTTAGATTGTATATATAGAAATTTACATTTGCAATTGGATAGATAAGATCGATATGAATTGTGTATAGCAATATATAATAATTGATATTGTAGATGTTAGTAATATTTACATCAAGTGGATTGACTGTAGATTTTTATTGCTAGTTTTAGTAGCTCTGACAATGATTTGCTGTAGTATTTCTTGTGGTAGTTGTAAGAAACTTGTTTTCTGTACCGCTAAAGAAGAAGTAGTATGCTTCAGCATTATATAGATATATAGACTATGGTTTACTTCTCGATTTTATTCTAATTTATGCCGTTATCACATATTATAACATAATTTGTAAAAATTGATTAATTTATGACAGGCTTGAGTCCCATCTCACACTAACAAATCAATCCTCTTATTCTTTCTTAATAATAATCTTCAAGTGATCAAGTCCTAAGAAAAGATTTTAAAAATAAACTCCATTTAAAAATAAAATAAAATAAATAATTAAATACATGAAGACTTATGATAGAAAGAAAATACCATCACAACTTGAAGATGGTTTTTTTCATTGTCAACTGCGGTCAGCACTTTTGAGGAGGGAACTGAGGAATCAACTTCAATAATTGTTTATCCTTTGAAACTAGATCTGTGACCATGGACAATGTGTAATCATTTGGCATCACATTTCTGTCCTTCATTTTGTGAAGAAGTTCAACCGCTTTAGCTTCCTCATTGTTTTCTAAGAAACCTTGCATCAGAATATTGAATGTAACAACGTTTGGAGCAAAACCTTTTTTTACCATATCCGATAACAAATCATACGCCTCTTGTAGTTTCTCTTCTCGAACAAACTCATGGATCAAGATGGAATATGTCACAACATTTGGCATTATGCCTCTTTGAGGCGACTTCTGGAATATCTCCCAAGCAATTTCGATCATTCCCTTTTTACACAGTCCATCAATGAGGCAGTTGATGACTCCAATATCAATCTTAAAATCATAATACTCCAAAGTACGAAACCAAGTTGCTGCCTCCAGAACACGGTCATTCTTCGATAGACCATCAATCAAAACACTAAATGTAAATGAATCAGGAGCGACATTATAAAGTTTCATCTCATCAAATAGTTTCTGTGCAGTTAGAACCTTATTTAATCGAAAATATCTACTTAACAAGGCGTTATATGTAAATGCTGTTGGTCTAATTTCCATTAAAATCATTTTCTTGTACAGAAACATAGCTTCCTCTTCCTCGTCTTCATCCTTGCTAATGGTGTCGATCATAATATTATAACTGTCAACGTTAGGCTTACAACCCATACTCTCCATATGGTCCAGCAGATAGATTGGCTCATCAAATTTATGACGATCTGGTATAGGATCATCTCTTGTCAGCAAGCAATAACCATCAATCAAAGTATTATAAATATCTGTGTCTGGTTGCAAACCTCTAAAGATCATCAATTCAAACAATCGAGCAGCTTCCTTCATCTTCTTCTTCTTGCAAAACCCACTTATCATTGTATTATAACTCAGTAAATTACGCTGCAAACCTTGGTATTCTATCTCATTAAACAAGCCTTCAGCCTCCTCCAAATTTCCCACAAGACACCAGCCCGAAATTAGAGAGTTAAACACAGCCACATCTGGCTTAATTCCCTTATCCTTCATGTCCAGAAACAGTTCTTTCGCCTTGTCCACCAACCCATCTTCACAAAGACCATGGATAATACTACCATAAGAAACAATATCAGGCCTGACCCCAAACACAACCATTTTGTGGAACATCTCCGTAGCCTCCGAACTCCCATTCTCCAAAAGCAAACCTTTAATCAAAGAAGTCAAAGTCACACCATCTGGGCTAAAACCCTCCCTCAAAATCCTCCCAAAAGCAACAAAACCATCACAAACTCGACCCACATTACAAAGGCAATTAATCAAAGTATTCAAAGTAAAAAGATCAGGCAACAACCCCATTGAATCCCCTCGCTTGTAAAGCAAAATGACGTCTTCATAAAACTTCTTCTCAGCAAGACTTCCAAACAACTGATTGAAAGATGAAATTGGTGGTTTGGGTTGCATATGAATCATTAAAGAAAAGAAATAGCGTGCTTCATGAAGACTGATATTACCTTGTTTACAATCTTTTTGAAGGAATTTATCAAGCCTCGCTACCTCCTCAACGTTATGTACTGAATCTTGTGGTATAGTTGTAATCGCTCTACCTGGTTTTTTGAATGAAGAAGGAGAAGAAGAAAAACGACGTAGGAAGATTTTGGACGCCATTTGAGTATTGGCGGTATCTAGGGTTCAATCTGGGTTAGTCTTTCGTGGGTTTAGGCTTAAATAATAGAAGAGAATCTCACTGGCAATAAGAGGGGGATAAAGTATTTATGTGAAACCTGTAGGGGTCATATTATAATCTAATGCTACCCTTTCAAGCTCTTCTCACTGCTCTTCATATATAAAATTTTCCATGCTCAGTTGATGCTTTCTGGTTACTAAATAAAAAGGAAATACTAACAAAAGAAAAGCAACTTTTTTCTACTTTATTGGAAAAAAATCTGACCATATCTTCATTCTTTGAAAAGAAAAATATTTTTGATACATTTTCGTTTCCATTAACATATCCTAAATATTATGATCTTACATTGGGATTTCACACCCACCATGTAAGATACTTAACCTTAGGGCCTCTCTCACCTATCATGTTGGTAATTTGAAGATATCTTCATTCTTGGAAAAGAACAATATTTTTGATACATTTCCTTTTCTATTAATATATTTTAAATGTTATGATCTTATATCAGGATCTCACACCTGCCAAGTACGATACTTAAGCCTATGGCCTTTCCCACGATGAGGCTGGTAATCTGACGATATCTTCATTCTTGGAAAAAGACAATATTTCTGATACATTTCCTTTTCCACTAGCATATCCTAAATGTTAAGATCTTACATCGAGATCTTACACTCCCCAAGTAGAATACTTAAGCCTAGGGCCTCTCCCACCTATCATGTCGGTAATCTGACGATATCTTCATTTTTTGAAACGAACAATATTTTTGATACATTTCCTTTTCCATTAACATATCTTAAATGTTATGATCTTTCATCGGGATCTCATACCCGCCTAATAGGATACTTAAGCCTAGGGCCTCTCCCACCCATCAGGCCGGTAATCTGACGATATCTTCATTCTTGGAAAAGAACAATATTTCTGATACATTTCTTTTTCCATTAAAGCATCCTAAATGTTAGGATCTTACATAAGGATTTCACACCTACCAAGTAGGATACTTAAGCCTAGGACCTCTCCCACCTATCAGACGGTCTTTTGGATTGGGCTCTCCCTTAGACTTGAGTTCTTACATTAGTGCTTTTCGTTGAAAGTTGAGCTACGGAAAGGGCTATCTATAGGTTAGATTAAGATGCAGTGGGCTCTTTTTGGGAGAGAGTGTTGCATCAAATAACTTATAGGTGAGTAAAATCGTTCAAAGGGAGAAAGGGCTACCGTCGAGTCAGTGTCGATAGAATAAAAACCGTCGTGGACGTCGGCTCTTGAAGGGTGGTGCAATGTTAGGATCCCATATCAGGATCTCATACCCATCAAGTGTGATAATTAAGTCTAAAACGTCTCTCACCTATGAAGCCGGTCATTTAGGTTGGGCTCTCCCTTAGTCTTGAGTTCTTACATGCACTAAATCTTTTTCTTTTTTTTTTTAATGAGAGTTAGCTCTCCCCATGTACGGGTTACGTGATTTAGATGCACAGGCTGTATTTGAAGATATGAAGAGGTTAGGAATAACCCCAACAATGAAATCCCACATGCTACTGTTATGTGCCTATTCAAAGACAGGCAATGTTGCCAAATGTGAATACATCTTAAACCAGATACACAAAGCAGGGCTCAAGCCAGACACTTTTGTAATCAATAATGTATGGCCAGTTAGGCCAATTTGAATAATTGGAGGAAGTCTTAAATGCATTGGAGAAAGACCATATGCAGCTGATATCAGCACATACAACATCTTGATCAATGTATATGGACGTGCAGGATTCATCGAGAGAATGGAAGGGCTGTTCCAAACTCTTCCTGCCATGCAAAAGTTTATTGACATATCCTAAATGCAACATTTTGAAGAAATGATTTATGCTGGTTGTTACCCAGATGGTGGAACTCTTCTCTCAGCTTGTTCAAGTGAAGATCAAGCTGCGCAGGTTTTCACCAACTCTTATTTTGCCCTTCAAGCCATGTTAAAGCTGGTTACTTTCTTCACACCTATTTTCAATCTCATCTTACTAACATCATCCCATAACCAACAAGATATGATTCGGTATGTTGCTCTCTTCTTACTATTTGCGTAATTTAATCTCAACGCCGTGTTTTATTTATCAGAAATTTGCTTTGCCAAATACAAGCGGTGCAAGTCCAACTGTCCTAACTTCAACATCGGGACTCCTTACAGTATTGGTTGGAGCTCATGTTGGGCCGGACTCCTTACAGTGTTTGCTATTTTCTGAAGATCTGAACTCCTTGTAAGATATAAGTCAATTTAGAGAATCTTCAGCCTTCAAAAACTTTGAAGTTCAAGTGGTTGGGTGGATGAAAAGTTACAGTGATAGGCAGAAGGAAGTGTGAAAATACCTGAGGTGAGGTGAGCATCCATATTGGAAACAGTAGGAGATTTAAGCCAACAAAACCATTGCAATTAAAGAAATATACAAGAGTTGCAGAAAATCAGTTTATAGAGATAGTATTTAGAACCTTAAAGTTACAGCTCAGTCATGGATTCAATAACAAGGCCAACATAATCATATTACCATCGGCAGTAACAGGAACATATCATACATCAGTTATAGCATAATTTACATGTAGTTACTAGTCAACTAATACTTTCCCTGAGTTACTGTTTTCATCTTATAACACACAAGGTTCAGGAGCCCAGATATGTCAAAGCAGAAGCACAATCTTCCTCCAGCAGCTGCTTTACTATGGTAATGTGATCAATCATGCCTTCATCCTTTCCTTTTGCCAGCCAAAAAAGAGAATCAATTAAGTAGTTGCAACAACAAAATTCACATGCAAATTCCTCTTAACTCTTTCATTATGGATAACCAAACCTATTGCATAAAAATATAAATCAAACTATCTAACAACCTTCAACCGCCTTCCATGCATCCCAGTATCCCTCCACTTAAGAATTTGCAAAAACTGTAAATAACTTATTCAAGAATTACTTACCTTGACGAAACATGCCTTCAAATTTCGGCTGGCCTCAATAGAAACTGAAAATGCTTCGGCCATTGACTTTGGACTTCTTCCCTCTGTGTTCGAATACAAAAGCCCTCCCCAATGTTGGTTTCCCTCTAATGGCAAGTGATCGACAAAATATACATCTACTGCCCATGTGGGAACCTAACCCAGGCACCCAGCACCATTTCGGTAACAAACACATCAAAAAGATCTAAGGATTTATATGTCCTTAGACAACATAACATACACTTAATTACGAGACAAAAATATTTACAACCCCATCAACTTTATTGTTTTAGGGGTCAAAGGGTGGGCGGTAGACATTACATTCTTCCAGTATGCGCAAGACATATGGCCTCCTAAGTGACTCTGGCAACCCCATGAAAACATCAATTTTGTACTGATCCTTGCACATTGCCTCAAAAACATCTATCATCTGCATTGGGGTTAAAAGTCCCAAGTCTTCAATAGCTGCAAACAAACGCTGACTTCTATCCTCCACTTTGTCAAAAGATGCGGCAATCTTTTCTATTGCTCGAGAAGCAACCTCACACGTATCCCTCCACTTCCGTATTTGGTCCACCATTTCAGAGATGCCCTCCTCACTAGAAGTCCTATGAGTTCCACTAGCTCTATGTCTACTCCTATTCTTCAGCAACAAGACAATCATCGTAAAAACTAGCATAGCGTTTAGGGCTTCCATCAAATGAAAATACAACATCATAAATGTCAATAAATGCTTCTGCCTGTTAGTTAAACGAGCCATTTCTGTTAAACATAAGCCACAGGGGAACACTGGATTACTGTCATATTTGAAAGGAAGAGGACATAACATACATTTCAACAGAAACCGCAACCCCTACGCACACATGGGATGGACAACTTGGATTGGATATTAAATTTGTTATTATTGTATTTATAACGGGAAATATAGACATAAAGAAGAAAGTCATAACTGTATATATGGTAAGATCAGGAATAAAATTAGATAAAATCCAAGGTTCAATTGTTATATGTATATATTTACCGTAGTGTTATGAGAATGAAATCCTGAATCAGCCCCGGAGAGGAATGGACTCACTTATGATCCTAGGTGGTTCACTGAAACATGAAGGCAGTGTTAAAATGTAATAAAAACACTGTTAGGATGGTTATTGATAGGTGCAGCAACAATAGCAGCAGTGTGAACCAAATGAAATGGAGAAGTTGTTTGACCAACATTTGTAATCAATTGCAACAGATGAAGACATCAAACTGAGTTCAACTGTAAAATAAATAGGAAAAAAAAAATGACACGATCTCTTCTCAATAACAAAGTGTGAAAACAGTCACAACACCCATGCAAACAGCTCCAACATCCTGAAAAGATGATCTATATCCAATTTCACAAGAAAAAAATTGTTATCTATAGATGTATTTATTCCAAACTAAATGTGTTATGTATAGATGTATTTATTCCAAACTAAATGTGTTATGTATAGATGTATTTATTCCAAACTAACTCAAATAACTCAAACCAGGGAACCTTTATGCATAGCTAATAACCAGTCAGATAAATTATGGAATTAGATTTCACTTCAACACTCATACATCAAGCTTAAAACTGAAAGAATACTAGTTAAGCAACGGGATATAGCGTTTACTTGTTGTCAAGCCAAGTTTATAACAAATAAGAGAAACAAAGCTGCGCATCATTTGCGTACTTTTAGCATCTTCAAAATAGTAAAGACATACATTTAATTTCACAAGCAAAAGGCAGGTCCAGCAGCGGCAGCAAAAACAAAAATTATACCTAATCAAAATGATGGCCAGGAATCCGAATATTCACAGCAGGAACAAATGAAAGCCAGATTTTCTCTTTCTTCGAACAAGAGTGTTGGAAACAGCTGTAACAAGCCAAAACCTTATTAATTACAATGGGTTGGTACAAAGAAAGAAACAGGGTACTGAAATTTCAGCTGGAATATTTACCAAGTGCTTAAAAATGTAGATGGTTGTATGCTTTATGAAGACCTTTACAGGTTTGTCGTATATGCTGCAAAAAAAGTTGGAAAGATTCAAATACTAATTGCCCAATTTTGTTGTAATGAAAACATAACATACAGAAAGAGTCAAAAATCATATAATTGGCTTAACATTGGAAAACAAAGACAGCTTTACAACTGATTTGTTCTTTCATTGATGATGCTCATAGCTAGCAAACCAGTCGTGTTTATGTCTATGAAAAACGCAACAACTAGAGTTGATGCAGAGTTCAACTATTAAATTAAGCTTTCTTCTAGCTGCATATTGTGTAGCTTATTAAGGCACTAAGTTTATTATTTATGTGTCATCTGAAAAGAAGCACACAATTTCTTAACTTAGATTATTAATCCTATATATGTATATGAACAATATAACCTGTCTTCAATCAGCTGGTTGTATATATATGAGGACGAGGAGATCTGAATTACGGGCAATCTGAAGAATATTTAAACCAATTACAACATAACTTTTTGTGATATTGCATTAACCAGTGTTAATTATCTTTCATGTTCAGCATCGAGCAAAGAATCACTCCTTATCAAATGACAAAAGAATGGTGACTACAACTGTTAAGGCTATGGTTTGGCTTATAATTAAAGAAACAGAAAAGGAAATAAAAGAACTCGGTTGTAGTATATTATGCACCACTCATATATAGCAAGCAGGGCTGCTGATTAGCTAATAATTTAAAGAGTTTGATATTAACAATGTTAATTAATTAAAGTATGTTATTGAATTAGAAGTGTAGTTACAAAATGCACCGGGATAATCAGTAGTGGTTCGATTTTCATGAATATCATAGAGGTTTGAATCGAATTGCTACATAATTCTTGGAATAACAAATTCTTTAAGGGTGCTTTCACTTCAATGAAACATCAATGCTTCAGTTAATGCAAGCAACTAGCAATCGATAGCCATGCTAAATGATTTTGCTCTATTCTCAATTTGAAAGATTTAGAAGACACGTGGAAACTGCTCCAACATCCCTAAAAGATGATCTATATCAAATTTCTCTTCAAAAATAAAATATAATCTGCGCTGAAAAGATCTATTAGTTCCTCATTTAGTAAATGCAAGGACCCTTTCAGCAAACGTAACCAGCAGCCAGATTAAAAATGGATATAGATTTCACTTCAATGCCCAAACATCAGGCATAAAAATGAATAAAACTTATTGATCAGCTGGATATAAATTTCACCATTTAACAAGCCTACTTTGCAACAAATAGGAGACACATAACTAAACATCATTTCCTTAGTTTTAGCATGTTCAAACTAGTGAAAACACACATTTAAAATCACAAGCAAAAGGCAGGTCCACCTGTGGCAGTAAAAACAACAAATTAAACACTTCAAACAGTTTAGCAAGCATCCGAATACTCACAGCAGGAAGAAATCACCGCAAAAACCTCTGACCTTCTCCAACAAGGCTGCAGCCAAGAATCTGAAATACACAAAAACCAAATTATTCAGTATGGATTGGTACAAAGAAAGAAACAGGACACTGAAAAATCAGCTGGACCTTTACCAAGAGGTTATATATATGTAGACAGTGCTATGCTTTATGGAGAATACCACAGGTTTGGCTTATTTCCTGCAAAAACAGTTGGAAAGAGTCGCATCTAAATGCCCAATTTGCGAATAATGGAATCATAACATGCAGAAAGAGTCCAAACTCATCTAGTTGGCTTAACAACGGAAAGATAGACAGATTACCAACTGATTTGTCCTTTGTTAATTCTGCACATAACATAGTTAAGGACCCGAAGCTGAAAACTAGATGAGTACCTTGATTCGGAGGGAGGAGACGGCAGAAATTGAAGGAACAATGACGCTGCGCTTGGAAATGAAGACTATTCACGGAATCCGCAGAAGACGCACTCAACCTGATCTGAAGATCAAAGCAAGCTCAAGTTTAAAGGGAAATGCAGCTGGAGTGCAGTGGAAATCCACATTGTACGCGACAAATTCTGGGTTTGTGCTCGATTGAACTGTGAAAAAGTGGGAAGGAAAAGCAAAGTTCGAGTTCAGCTACGGAATATAGCTGGGTAACAATTAATTTGGTAGACGAAGAATAAATGACTTAGGTGGGATTTGGTGAGTAATAAATTTGGGTTTTTTTTTTTTTTTTTCTGTTTTTATAATCGGGGTGTAGGATTGGCCTATCGCGCGTCTCAGCTAATTTCAGAATTCTTACACGTGGATCTAGGTGGGCTCAAGATGATTGGAACAGAAAAGTTAGTGGAGATAGCAAACATTCTTGGTGGTTAAATCAATCTTTTGAGATTAAAAAATTAAACTAGGGGCATAAGTGTCTAATACATTTTTTTTTTTGTCTAAAGCTAAAATTAAAATTGTCCATGATAATTCTCCTAAATGGTTTAGATAACAAATGTATTATTATTCTAAAATTTTATTAATAAGAGATAAAATTATAATAAAAATAAAATTATTAAGTAATCTGATAATAACTAAGAAAATAGTGGTATTCATATTACTACATGAATAACAAGCAGTGATTATTATTGATTTTTTAAGATTATCAAATCTTATATTACTTATCAATCAAACATAGTAATGTCACTAATATAAGATGACAATAGTCTCATATGTTGAAATGAAGCGTAAAAACATATGAACAATTTTAAGCTTTAATAATTAATTTATAAAAATGTGTACAAAAATAATTAATTTGTTTTAAAGCATAATATGGTGTCGGTTTTTTTTTAATATGTTATTCATCAATACTAATTGAGTAATGTAATAGTTTGTAAATGTACATTCTAAGATACGATGAAGCATGACTTTTTCCGCGATATATGCACGGACAAAAGTATACCTAAATATATTCTTAAAGTTGTTAAGTATAATTACCAAACGAGCAAAATCAGAAAATGAAAATGGTCATTGTTTTCTTAGTTTTTAATAAGGAAAATAGTTTTTTAATATTGTGTTAAACCCGCTTTCTAATTTGGAAAATATATTAGGATACAATTAAGGTTTTCGAAAATTCTTTTTAGAGTACAAATCAAATACTGTAAAAATACTCAAACTTACATGCATGTGTTTCAATAAGGAAAACGATAATGCCATCCTTGAGGTTTGGCTTAAGTAACGCTTTAGTCTTATATAATTTTTTGGTAGCGTTTTAGTCTTTGTCGGTAACGTTTTGTCTCTATCATTAGCAACTTCAAACACCAAAATGTTGCTAACAGTAGTGATGGCAATGGGTCAGGCCGAGACCGGGTATCCCTTGGCCTAGGCCTAAGCCCGACCTCATGAAAAAAGCTCAAGGTCGTCACGGGTATGATAGGTAAAGTCCAAGCCCGACCAAACGAGTTTTTTGTAATCTCAAGCTTGATTCAAGCCCGCCCATTTTTATAATATGAATTTTTAAATATTAATAAATTTTAAAAAAAAATTTATATTTTTAATTCTAAAAATAGTTTTTAAATATTTATTTATTTTTTAATACTCATCAAATGGGATGAGATTAGGGTTTGGGAAAAATTGGTATATATATGTAGGATAATCTTCTAATTAAATATATAGTATAAATATAATTTAGTAAAATTAATACTAAAATTGACGGGTCGGGTCGAGCTTGAAGACGTACCCAGGCTCGGCCCATACCCGATATAAGGCCTTAAAATCAGGTCCGAGCCCAAGACCGTAAACACCGAATAAAGCTCGACCTTTTCAGGCTAGGTCAGGTACCCGAAAATATCAAACTTATTGCCATCTCTAGCTAATAGGAACCAAAACGTTACTAAAACATTCTATAAAAACTAAAGTGTTGAAGTCAAACCTCGAGATGAGAATGTTATTATGTACTTTATTTTTTTTCCTCCTAAGTTACCATATGAGCGTTGGAATTGGCTTTCGTTGTCGCATGCATGATCTCTCCAACTATACGATATAATCCTCAAGAGGCAGAGATACATTTGCCATGTGGCCACAAAATTTTTAAAATTTATTGAAAAACTATATTTTGTTCCTGTAAATTCACATTTTTTCCTTTGGCCACCCAGTTTTCAAAAATTACATGTTTTCCCCCATATATCATATATGTGTACACTTCTCATTTTCTAACCCCTGAAAATTTTCTAGCTCATCCCTGCTTGAGCTTCAAATTTTTTTTTTTTTTTAAAATATATAGACATTTATCAATTTCATCCTTATCATATCATACCTCTTTTTGTCCCCCTTAGTTTTTAAACTTAAAATTTGGTCGTCATAAATGTAATTTTCTTTGGCCCTCTCATTTATTAAATATCAACGTGGCTCTCTCATTCATTAAATATTACATTTGGACCCACTATCGCACGTGAATGTCCCTTTACGTTTTGCATGGATGTTTGGCGGGGCACCGAAAGGTAAATCAGATATGCTCTGATACCACTTGTCATGAGTTGGGAGTTTAACACCCAAAAGACCCACTATCACATAAAGGACTCCACCTTATAAGTTCAAGACAACCTTAATGCGCTTCTAATGTGAGATATGTGATACTATACTTTTTTTAATAATAATTTAAGAAGAGTATTTAATTTTTTCTGCTAATTGTGGTCGCATTTCAAATTATATATGTATATATGTAGTAGCTTTTAAATTCCTTTGAATGAAATTGAAAATGAAACATAAGCTTACGGATAGGCCATAATAGTCCAAGCAAAAAGAGACATATGGAAAGGGCCAAAAATAAATAGCTCTTTTTGGATATATGCCATTGGGATTTCACCAAGTCATACTTATGAAGTTTAAAGTTTTGAAGGAAGCGTATTTAATTTATGAAATTGACAACACATTTTGACAACAATACATAAATTTTTTTTTATTTAATTTAATTTAATTTTTGTTTGGATAATAATAATATTATTGGAAATGAAGGAATGAAGCTTTAAAAATTGCTTAAAACACCTCTAAAATTCATTTTTGTTAATGAGAAATTCAACGCTATTTTATATAGATAAGATAGATTATAAATTTGTGAGATTATTTTAAAAAACTATATATATATTATATATATTAAGTTTGATTATTTTTGCGTATAGTACACCAATAGGGTTTTTGCAATGTATGGGCTTGGGTCAAACGCCATTACCCGACCCAATCCAATTGGGACAGGCCACAGTGATACTTAATGGAGTAATGGTGATAAAAGTTGGGATTATTTAAAGGTGATAGGCTTGAGTCCATCTCACACTAATAAATCAATCCGCTTATTCCATCCTAAATTTTTCATATAATATATTTTAAATATAACCCTTATCAATAATTACTTTCGAAACCATTAATTGACTCGTTATTAACTATTTTAGTACAAGAAGTCGACTTTCAGTTGAAGGAGTTCGATAGTTCTGTCTTTCAGCAAACTCTGCGTCTGAAAACATCTAGAGAGTATTTGGAATCAAAAGTAACTTAATCACAACAAACAACAAAAATAGTAAAGAGAAAAAAACACGCGCGATTTATCTTAATTCACTCAAATTAGGTTATGTTTAACAGAGTTAAATTATTATAATATTTTCTTACCTCTCTCAACAATAAATGATTTGCTATGAATTGTTAATCAATCATACAAGAGAATAACTTGTTTGTGTCATCCTTACACAAAACGAACCCCTTATGTTGAAGTGGTTATCAATTTCAACGCCGCCGACATTTGAAGTGTATATAAAAATCAATTTCACAACTTTTTATTATTTTAATCTAAAAAAGTATTTTTATTAGTTTCTTAAAATTACTTTTGGATTACAAATCAGATAGAACACATTTCTTTGTAAAATCCTTAATGAACTTTTGTTTAAGTCAATGAGTTTGCTTGTGAGACAAATAATGAGAGAGGACATCTACTATACAATGCCAAATTCTTTCTTGCCACTTAAAACACACAAACTTTTCCTCTATTTCTAGTCGATATGTTCATCTTATTCCTTCATATGATTGGATTTTCTCTCACACTACTCACTTTGAATGACAATTAACATGATTATACGAGAGTTAGTATTGAGCATCCCAATTTAAGTGAGGAGTAATGGCAGTGACTTACGGCGCTGGTGTCTCTCTTAAGGATTAGTTGAACGTTGGTGAAAAAAATAATAATAATGTTATCAAAGATTGTGCATAATACTGGCGTAAAATACATTACCTCAATAGTGTAAATTGACTCGTGACAGTGGGTTGTTACGTTAGTCTTCTGAGGATAGTCAAACCTTAGTTACAAAATATGTTATTGAGAGATCAAATTGTTGAAACCATGATACTAATGTAAGATAACATTACCTCAATAGAGTAAATTTACTCGTGGGGGTGAGTTGTATGCTAGTCTCTCAACGATTAGTCGAACCTTGGTCCCAAAAAAAAAAAAAAAAAAAAAAATGTTATGGAGGGATCGAATTTTGTGAAACTGATGCACGACAAACGTAAGAAACATTACTCAATATTGTAAATGACATATCAAACCATGATACTAGTAAGATAATGTTACCTCGATATTACAGATGGACCTTCGTATCATAGCACGTTTAATCATTAAAAAAAAACAAAACCGTACTAATAAATAGTACTTTTCTATTGACCCAACTGTTAAGCCACGTTAAAGTTGTTAAGTCAATTAGCAATGAGTTAGGTAGTTAGTTGTGTATAATACTTTTTACATTATGGAAAAGTTAAGGAGTCTAAATGAGAACCTTTCTTTTTCTTTTGATTGATCACAAAATTTTGAAAGCCTGTAAATGAAGTGGAAAGAGATAAAAGTAATCTTATAGAAGATTGTGTTTTTGAGTTGTTATTATGTTAAAAGTTGAGGATTTAAAGCAAATAAAGTATAGAAATCCACTGCCAAAATTTAAAAAAAAAAAAAAAAAAAAAGGAAAGAAACAAGAAAAAAAGAGTCACATCATGTTTCGTTCTAATCAACTTCTTCATCACATGTGGCTTTATAAATTAATGAAATTTGGTTTCAGAATAATTCGGAACAATCACTAAAAACTCGTCGTTTTTCTTAATTTTAGTAAAGAAAGCAGTTTTGGAGGGGATGTTTGTCCAAGCTTATGAAAATTAGCTTATAAGTACTTTTTAAAATTTTAAGTAATTACGTGTTTGTTTAAAGTACTTATAAATGACTGTAAGTAGTTGACGTGTTCGGTAAAATGTGACTTAAGTACATTTATTATAAAATGACTAAAAGGGTATTCATTAAACAAGGGTTACTATAAAATTTTAAAATTAAACAAGGATAAAATGGTATATATTGGTTAAACTTTGTTTATAAGAAAAAAAAAAAAAAAATACCTCCCCCAAATTTTTTTTGGGCTATAAACTCAAAAAAGTTATAAACAAATATGTCAGCTTAATTTAGATTTTATAAGCTAGTTTGATCAGCTTAAGAGCTTAGATAAACACCCCTTCGATACTACTAACAGACCAAAATGTTACTAAAACATTCTATAAAAGCTAAATTGTTTAAGTCAAACCTCATGGATGAGATTGTTGTTATCCCATTTTAATAAGTTAATGCCTTTTATATGGTTGAATGGCTTTCCTTGTCGCATGCATGATCTCTCTAACTATAATAGATTGCTTTAGAATTCACTTTATCAGCTGCATATAAGTTATGGAGATTGTGCTTTTATCAAAGGATATTCCCTCGGACTATGTAATTTCATTTGTAACTTTTAGACCATTTTCCTCATCTGGTGGATGTGTAGTGAGAAATATTAGCAAATTATATAGAACAAATAAATGCGAGTGTTAGAGAACTATGATTCCTTTGAAAAGGGTTTTACAAGTGCCGTACACGAATATAACCTAAAAATTATTTAATTAGACGATCTCATCACTTTAGTAAAGATATAATCCTCATAGGCGGAGCAACATTTAGGCATTAGCCCAGTGGCGGAGCTACATGTGGCCACAATTTTTTAAAATTTATATAGAAAGCTATCATTTTGCTTTTGTAAAATCTAAATTCACATGTAAATTTGGAGATGGAAACGCACATATAAATTAGTTCTTATTAACCACCGTTAGGTGGTCCAGCGGTCAACTAAGATCAGGGGTGGATCCAGCCTAATTTTAGGTGGGTTATGGCCCATCCTCAATTTTTTTTTTTAAATATGTATAATTTCTAGCTTTTACCTACCCTAACATAAATATTAATGGACAAAAATATTAATGTATAATTAATTTTTATTTTGGCTCACTCTAACAGAAATTTCTGGATCTGCTACTAACTAGGGCTCTTAGATGTATTACTTAAGAAGTCATAAGTTCGATTCACATGAGTTGCTAATAAGGTGGCCACTGAAAGGATTTACTTGACCGTCAGCTGCAGGATTCCGGGGGATTAGTTGTGGTGTACATAAATTAGATCAGACACCCCTGGTCACAAAAAAAAAAAAAAAAAAAAAGGTAAATTCACATTTTCTCCTTTAGCCACCCCAATTTTAAAAAAATTACACGTTCACCCATATATGTGTAAATTTTTAATTTTCTAACCCTTGAGAATTTTCTAGCTCACCCCGACCTCAGCCCCAATTTTTTTTTTTTTTTTTTTTTTAATATATAGACATTTGTCAATTTCATCGTTATAATATCACATCTCTTTTTGTCCCCCTTAGTTTTTAAATTTAAACTTTGATCCTCATAAATGTAATTTTCTTTGGCCCTCTCATTTATTAAATACAGTAATGTGATGTCCACAACTTAATCTCATAATATTCTCTCATAACTTTCGACATGACAGTTTATAATTAGTCAGCTCGCAAATGGGAAAGCACGACTCATAGCAAAGAGGCGGGATCCATTTGCGAGTTGATCAATTACGAGCTGTCACGTCAATAGTTGTGAGATTGGATTGTGGACTTAACATTACTCAATTAATTATCATTGTGGCTCTCTCATTCATTAAATCTTACATTTTGGCCCTCTATAATAATTTGTTTTTTGCTCTGCCCCTGCGTCTCGTGTAAGTATTTCTCAGCTAGATGAAGTCCAGGGACCATCTGATACTATGTTATATACTCACATATTACTGGCGATTGAGTAAGCCGACGAATCCACAAAGAAAAGATGTGGAATTTGAGGGTGAATGTATAAAGAACTTGGAACATTATTTTTCCAGGAAAAAAAAAAGAAAAGAAAAATAAAGGGCTTGCGGAAAACGTTTGTCCAAGAATCTCGAAAAGAGAAAGTGTAAAATCAGCCAAAGAGACGGGGTTTTGAATCCTTTATATAAACTCGTAATTGTAAAGATAAGAAGAAAGAAAGGCTCCATTTACAGTGAGAGAGAGAGAGAGACTGGGTGGCAGAGAAAGATAAAACCAACTAATAATAAAAACGGCAATGGCGCCCGTCGGATTGCCTCCTGGTTTCAGGTTTCATCCCACCGATGAAGAGCTTGTCAATTACTATCTCAAGAGAAAAATCAATGGCCAAGAGATTGAACTCGACATTATTCCTGAAGTTGATCTTTACAAATGTGAGCCTTGGGAGTTAGCAGGTTTATTCTTCTCTTCTATATCTCATTATTTCCCATCCTCATTGTATATTCCCATGAATTTCGACAAGTTTTCTATTATATCTTCTTCCCAAACCCCATTATTTTTTCTTTCTGTAAATCTCCGTGGCAGGAGAAAATTTTGAACTTGTTTACACGTTTTGATACATACATTGTTGTTGCTGTTGTAGAGAAATCATTTTTACCAAGTAGGGATCCGGAGTGGTACTTTTTCGGACCTCGGGACCGGAAGTATCCGAACGGGTTCAGAACGAATAGGGCAACACGAGCTGGATACTGGAAATCGACGGGAAAAGACCGGAGAGTTTCGTATCAGAACCGAGCCATCGGAATGAAGAAGACATTGGTTTATTACAGAGGGCGAGCTCCTCAGGGAATAAGAACTGATTGGGTGATGCATGAGTATCGCCTTGATGACAAAGAGTGTGAAGACTCCACTGCTGCAATTCAGGTAGTTTGTACATTATACAGTTCAATGAAGCTACTAAATTTATTTTTATTTAATTTAATTTATTATACCTTGAATTTTGTCGCAAATTACCTTAAATAAATACAGGAAAAATTGACTGATGTGATAAATGATATAACGATGGTGCGAATGAAAAAATCTATAAACAAGAATTACTGACGATGTTATACATGGTTTATAAATTTATGAATCCTTAAATTAGGAAAGAATTATTCATTTTTTTAATTTTTTTTCATAGAGAGAGCTTTAAATTTTCAAATATTTACTCTAGTAAATTCTTTTGTGGGTTTTTTTAATAGAAAAAAAAATCTTCTCGAAAAAATAAGATTAATTCTCCTTGATTTAGTTAATTAGTTCTATCAGTTCTATGTCTTGGTGTTCCAAGAGTAAATTTACCCTCATTTTTTATCGTGATTAAATGAACATATAAACACCCGTCTTATCGGAAATTTACACCGAATTTAAGAGTCTTAGCCTTTGAGGAAAGCATTTTTTTTTTTTTTTTTAGCTGTACAAAAAGTAAGTTAAAGCCGCAAGGCTGTATCTATATTATATATATGCCAACCTAAAATACTTAAAACTCTCTAATTAATTTATTTAACACCTTGATTTAAAATTAATATAATACTTATATAGAGAATAATAAGGGAAAGAACGTGAAAGAAAAGTGCATGACGTGCATGGAAAGTAAGGAGTAGTGTTCTAATTTTTTTTTTTGGCTTGTTTATTATTTAATTAATATAATAATATAAGTTAAATTATATGAAAAATGGGTGACATATTCGTTGCTTGTTGAAGCTACTCTTTGATATCTCAATTCTCAAGTGATGTAAAAGTTAAAATCCACTTTGTTTTATCTAATGAGACAAAAGTAGTATTCCCCCATATGACTCAATCTCTTGTTCTATAGACATTTTATTTTACACTATTATAATGTTGTTTCTTCATATACTTTATCTTTTTATAACAGTCTTTGATCTGTAATTGCGGATTCTATTTGAGAGTATCACATATGCATGACCAGGACTTTGACTAACCCAAAATTATTTATTTAGGCTATATGCTACATGCTAACCCAATACCCCCAAAAGCAACTTCTCTCTTATCACTTTCATGGTGGAGTAGTGTAAGAATTTGTCGGCTCCTTTTTACTTTATTCCCAACACTAAAAATAACCCTAGATTGTTTTGCTCTTCCTCTTAACCTAAATTTATCATCTCAAATGCCTCCACCGACTCCAACCTAGGTTATATATACACATAGATTTTGGTATGCAGACATCTTGAAATGTTTAACGTTCGAATAAAAGATGCATGTTTAGTCATTAGCTTTCAGTTATAATGTTTGTCAAAGTTAGTAATTAGGGCTGACATTAATCTGTATGTTAAAAATTTCAAGACGACTCCAACCTAGATTTTCTATATATATAATCAAAGGTGAATGTCGGTCATTGGCTTTTGATTTCATGTTGTGAAATTAGTGATTAGAGACTCATCTTTGGTCCGCACGTTAAAAATTTCATAATGTCGGCACTAGGGATTAATTATATATGTATATATAATAACGGGTTGTGAAGAAAAAGTTTGGAAACGGGTTTTTTGGATTTCATACAAAATGCAAAATCAAAGCTGGAAAAAAATATTTAATTTCATATGTCATGTTGTGTTCATGAAGCTTATATTGATATTGTTAGTTAAAGCCCTTTAGTGAAGCAAGATGCCTTCAAGGTTATCCTTGACAAAATCAGCCCCAATTTTTGATCCATGGTTTCCCTATCTTGATCCCAAGCTTTCTTTATACATTCACCTAACTATATATTCTTCTATATATCAATTTTTGAATGGCAGGATTCTTATGCATTGTGTCGAGTTTTCAAGAAAAATGGAATATGCTCTGAAGTAGAAGATCAACAAGGGCAATGTAGTATATCCTTAATGGAGAGCTCGTCGCAAGGCGTAATGACTGATTATGAAACACTGTCGCCGGATGTGCAGCCGACAATAACATCCTCTGCATGCATCGACGAGGAAGATAAAGATGATTCGTGGATGCAATTCATCACTGATGATCCTTGGTGTTCTTCAAATGTCGGTGTTGGTGGTAGTGGTTGGTGAAGAAGTTACTCATCATTGGCATTTTCAAAACTAACTGAAGAGATGATTAAAAAAAAAAAAAAAGGGAAATTGGTGAGGGTGGTGGTGAATAACAGAAATTTGGGTATATTATTTCTTACATAATAATTCTTGCAATTTTATATTAAAAAAAAAAAAGCTGAAAAATTTGTCATTATTTCTCTCATCATATAATTGTTAGATTATGTCTCTAATTAATTGGATGGATGTAATATATGGTTATATTTTATTTTATATACTTTATATATGGTTTGGGTGGTGGATTTTACATGAGCCAATTCGCAAAATCATGGCTCTAGGGATCCATTTTGTAATTTTAACATCTTCTCAAAGGTGTTCTTGTGGAATTAATAAAAGATAAATGGGTTATTGTTATCTTTTATTTGTTCCAGTGATTTTTTTTTTTTTTTAATAGGTATTTGATTGAATGGGTAATATTTATTTGTTTCTTTTTCATATTGAATGCGCCTCTATAGTCCCTATTTTTACAATTCCTGAACTCTTTCTTTTGTACCGAGGATCATTGAAATAACAAGAATATATTATTTTTACGGAAAATACCCTATATTGATATGTCGATAGGAACCTAAAAGGGGCAATAGTTCTTTCCTTGTTCTTGAATCGATTGGAATGGAATGAGAAGTTGATTACTTTGCCTTTTTGCCAATAAATCATAATGCTTGTGAAAAATTGTAAGATGAAGGAGATTACAATGATCAATCCTTTGGTTCATTAAATCCTGAATAATCAGGAATCCACCTTCTTTTTTGTCAAAAAATCTAACTAAATATTTGTATCTCACTTGATCATTATCACCGAGACAAGAAAAAAAATCTTTGTTTGGCAGAAAGAGAATCGATGATAACTTTTTATCTCTTTCATACCCATAGTAGATATCTCGAACCCAATAGTAAAAAAAAAAAAAAAAATTTTTGTAGGATTTTGTGAAGAAAATTGATCTTAGGAGTCTCTTCAATCAATAAAAGCAAAGAAAATAATTTAAGATATTTTATGGGCTAAACCACAAAATTATTATTTTTATCAAATAAAAATAGGCTAAGAGGGTTGGAAATACCAATCCATTAATAAAAATTTTACCATATAAATATAGGTTTAGGCTAATCTCAAATATATTGGTATAACCGAAAATACATACAACCTAAAACATGTTTTATATTTTTTAATTTTTTATTTTATTACCATGTTTTATATTTATTCTAGGAAAACGTAAGAAACAAATTTCGTTACAAAAACATTAATAACTCTTTTTATTTAAAAAAAATTAAAGAGGCCCCCTCTTGTGGACAGAAGAATGAAATAGTTGTAATTAGCAATTGATTGGATTGCATAAAGAGAAGTCCATTTTCTTGGCCAATTGGGCCGAAATCCGAAATGGCAAGGACGCAATATTTACACAAGCCAGGACATACGTAGTTTCACAAAGGAATTTTTCTTGTTCGGACAAGCAATCACACTCTACAAATTCAAGTCACCACCAAACGACGACAACCACCCTCCTCTCCTTTTGAAAATCGATGCAGCAAAACCACACGATAGGGTTTAAAGCGATACCGTTTCGGTTCTCCTCTTTCTTCTTCTTCTATTTCATGGCTTTCCAAGGGAAGAAACTCATCAATGATCCCAACGGTTCGCATTTCCCTCCTCCATATAATTAATTATATTTATTAATTTTATTGTCAACGCTTTTTTTTTTTTTTCCTTATTTTGCTTTCGGTTTGGTAGGAGAAAGTAGAAAATGGAAATTGAAGTGGTAGTGTTTTTTTTTTTTTTTTTTTTTTTTTTTATGGAGAGAAATCGACTCTGAATTTGATATTTTTAGCTTGCGCGGATTTTTTAAATATTTAATTGTTGCATGGTTTTTAAAGGTGTCGTGGTTCTTGTTTGGTTGCTAGAATTCGAAATTGATAATTTCAGCTTTGGTTTTCTGCTGAGAAATTGAGAATTGGAGCGTTCGTTTTTTCTTTTCTGAAGATGAAATTAATTTTGATTTTGAATATTTTAGCTCGCGCTGAGTTTTTTTTTTTTTTTTTAATTTAATTATTCTGTTGCATGTTGTTAAATGTGCTGTGGTTTCTGTTTGCTTGACGAGAAAGTAGAAATTGACGATTTCAGCTCTGTTTTTCTGTTGATGAAGTTGATTATGATTTCTCTTGCGGGAATTGCTTGTTATTAAAATGTGGATTATGAGTTCTGAGCTTTTACCTCCATTATTTTTTGCTTCTAACATTTTCTCAGCATCCTAACATAAATCATATATTAATTGCTCTGTGGAAGACATGAAATGAAAACTCATGTTCTTCATATAATTAGCTAGCTAATGTTTTGCTTATGCAGTAAAATTATATATTAATTGCTCTGTGGAAGATATGAGGATAATGCCAGGACTTTGTTGATTTTGATTACATGTTATGGTTCTGTCATGGTTCCTTTGACAGTTAATGTGATCAGTTATATTGCAAACTGCAAATAGAATTTAGTACTAATGGGAGTTTGGTTTTTTTAGTGTGTGAAAAGATAAAAAAAAGTTGAAGTGCTTATTGTTATTTTTAATTTTTATGATGGTTGCAGATGTGGTGACTGAGTTCATCGAGGGCCTTGTGGAAACATATACTGGTCTGCAGTACCTAGATGGTTTCCCTGAGGTGATGAAATTTTCTAACTTCAGTTTATATGCAATGAAATAAAGCCTTCTATATTATAGCCAAAAGAAAGATGGGATGGAGGTTCATGCTCAGAGAACTAGAAATAGTATGACATTTTCCATTTTGTGCTGATACAGGTGAAGGTTGTATTACGCGCTGATGTTTCAACTGCAACATATAACAAAGTTGCAGTTATTTCAGGTTTGAGAAACTGCATATTTCTTTTAAACACTCTTAATTATTATTATTATTATTTTTTTTTTTTTAATTTGGAACTTAAACTACTTGTTTCATAGTTTTAATATCTTCTTTGCCTGTAATTGTTTAATATATAAAGGTGATACTATGATTTTGTACTGCGGAGCTAGTTGTTTTCTTTGATGCTCTTAAATGTACATTTAGTTATTAAAAGAGAAAGGAAAACATGTCAAGTGCTAAATTGTTTGACCATTAGAAATACTAACTTTGTCCTATGATTGGATTTGGAATTGTAGAAACCTTTTATTTTATTAATGTTATCGGGAATACAGGGGGTGGCAGTGGACATGAGCCTGCACATTCTGGTTTTGTGGGAGAAGGGATGCTGACGGCTGCAATTTGTGGAGATATTTTTGCATCTCCCCCAGTTGATTCAATTTTAGCCGTATGCTTTATTTGCCTTTATTCTGCTTCTGTATTTAGCTAATGCCCTGTCAATCATGCCATTCTTCTCTTGGCTGACTGATCTGTTGCTTCTCAACTTTAGGGCATCCGTGCTGTAACTGGTCCTATGGGATGTCTTCTTGTTGTCACGGTACTGTTATTTCGAAACCTCAGATGGTATTTCACCCTTAATCATATTGATACATCCTATAAGATATTTCTATGAGAGATTACTGGTTGTTTTATGTTGAGAACTGCTTTTAGTTTGTCTACAAAAAAGAAAAGCAGAAGAAAGAGAGAGAACCACAACTCTGTAAAATTATGGTAAAAAATTGAGGATTTCTTCATTTTTATTTATTGATTCATAGAGTTGTAATCTTGATGTTGACAGAATTATACCGGTGATCGTTTAAATTTTGGTTTGGCTGCTGAGCAAGCAAAATCTGAAGGTTATAAAGTGGAGGTATGTTGATATTCAAAATCTACTTTAAGTATAGTGGCAAATAAAAATAATGATAATGTTCTTCACATTTGCAGACTGTTATTGTTGGAGATGATTGTGCATTGCCTCCACCTCGAGGCATAACTGGACGAAGAGGTTTGGCAGGCACTATTCTTGTTAACAAGGTTATTTGTCTCTTCCCTTTTCTTTCTTACATATATGCATATAGGGGTTTGCTTGCATTTGCATTTGCATTTACATATTCACACTTCAGGTTTTTTCTACTATCATTTATTTCTGTGAAAGACATTCTTACTTAGTTTCCGTTTTTCTTTGCATTCCATGAAGAATTCAGTATTGAATTTCTTTAGTTTCATCTCTAGACAAATTTATCTTTGTATCTGGTTGATTTAGTTTTTTATATCTTTTTCTCCTTTGTATATGCCTGAAATGCTCTTACAATAAATTTAGTTCTGGTTATGCATGTGGAGTAGGAAGCTTTTTGTATTTGCTTTCAGATTCTGTCTGAAACTATTAGTTAATAAGGTCAAACAGGAAAGAAACATAAACTGAATTTATTTTACTGCAATATGTTGCGTTCTTGGCCAGACTTTTATAGTCAACATGATTGCTCTAATGCCTTTTTTTTTTCCTCCTAATTACATTTTTAGTAGGGCTCTTGTAATGTTTGTTGACTTGGTCACTATGACGAAAACTGAATCGGTCAATTTTATATTTATTTTTAATAATTCTACTATTTTAAAATCCTTATCCTTTGCAAAGTCAGGTTGCTGGAGCTGCTGCTGCTGCTGGCCTTTCTCTTGCTGATGTTACTGCGGAAGCGAAACGTGCATCTGAAATGGTTGGAACAATGGGTGTTGCGTTATCGGTTTGTACACTGCCTGGGCAGGTTACATCAGATCGTCTGGGTCCGGGAAAAATGGAACTTGGTCTTGGAATTGTGAGTTATTTTCAAAACGACATCATGCGTATGAAATAATTAGTTTAGTGCATATAAGATTTATTTGATATGTGTTTAGTGTAATGACTTTTGTCGGGAATAAATTGAATTTCATTCAATGTGTTCAGATTTTGTTACGTTATATCTTGAGTTGATTGCTTACAATGCTGTGCACATTTTTAGTGGCCAAGTATTCTTGTGGATCTTTTACAGGCTGCTGCTTATATTTAGTTTCCAGACTTGTAGAGATTTGCTTCCATGTTTACATATTAAACTGAAATAAGATACATTTCTTTTCAGCATGGTGAACCTGGTGCTGCTGTGGCGGACCTTCAGCCTGTAGATGTGGTTGTCTCTCATGTGCTTAAGCAGATATTGTCAACGGTATGCCCAATACTTGCGGAGATATCTTCTTTTACATGATACATTTAGCTTTGTTGATTTAAAGAGAATATAAAGGGCAAAAAAGAATTTTTAATTTTAAACTTTATTTAACATTATTTCACCAATGAACAAAGTTCCTGGGAAGGCTTGAGAAAAAAATTGATGCCTGCACCCTGTTATTGCATTTTCTTCTGCAATGACTTAATACTTCTACTTCATATAGACACTCTTACTTCATATGACACATTTTATGCCGTATTTTATAGCACAGAATCCTAGATTTTTTTTTTTTTTTTAATTCTTTCTGGTCAATTTTGCAGGAAACCAATTATGTTCCGATTACACGAGGTAATAGAGTGGTGCTCATGATCAATGGGTAGGTCAATGATTTCTTACATACTTTGGGTCAAAATTAACCTATTATGTTGCTGGAACTTTTGACATATTTTCTTTGCTTTTAACATGTGCTTACTCAGCTGAATTGAACGAAAAAACTTCTTTGTAATGGGGTTGTAAGAAGTTAAAAAAAATAGAAAAATCTCAAATTAGTCATGCATTTTGGAAGAAATTACAACCCCATATATTTCTGATTTGTAGTTAAATTTTTGTTCATTCCAAACTCATTAAGGCAGAACTTCTGTCTATGAGGAAAGGTTTCATTGTTATCTTATTATTTTACATGCAGCTTAGGTGCCACTCCTGCTATGGAACTGATGATTGCAGCCGGAAAAGCAGTCCCTAACTTGCAATTGGAGCATGGGCTGGCTGTTGATAGAGTGTACACAGGATCTTTCATGACTTCTCTTGATATGGCAGGTTTGTTGTTTTCTGCCAGCAGCATTGTGTTTAATTAATAATATAATGAAGCTCAGTGCTGTTTTCTTTCAGGATTTTCAATTACTATCATGAAGGCAGATCAAGGAATCCTGCAACGTCTTGATGCTGCAACTAAGGCTCCTTATTGGCCTGTTGGTGCTGATGGTGCGTGGTGTTTTAGAATATTGCATTCTTTCTTTGTGTTCTTGAATTCATTTTTGTTTATAAGATTGTCATGTATGAAACTTTCTTTCTGGGACTAGAATCATAAATTGTTGATCTTTATGCACTAGTATGAAGATAAATTTAACCTTTCAACAATAGTGCATATTGTCATAAGGCCTTTATTAAGGATCTTTATCCTTGTATAATTCCAGAAAAAAAATGTCAAAATGAAGTGCTATAGTGATTTTATTGCTGTTGAGCTTAGGAGTTGTCTACTTGCAGGTAGTCATCCACCTGCCAAGATTCCTGTTCCAATGCCACCTTCTCGTTCATCAAAGAGTGAGGAGGTTAGTTCCACAAACAAAATTATTTCCAACTTTCATACGTTCATCACAAATATATAATAGTGTTCTCCAAGAAAAGTTGCCCACTCACTAGTGACCTTCACATCTGTTGAGTGTTGACAAGTTCATGCCACTTGTATTATTTCTAGTAGACAAAGTTATTAGCAAAATATTTCCTCAGTTAACTGCTTGTCAGGTTATCTGTTGCAAGATAGCTTCATACTTCTGCCAAAGGTTCCTCTTGTCAAAAAATCTGGACGTACATTAGTTAGAGCTGAGATTCAATGACAATTGAAGATTTGCTAGGCTTCTACTCACAGATGGTCATTTGGAAGAACTGAAAATGGGAGATGAGGAAAGCAGAGAAAATAATTTCCCCCAAATAGTGAATATTAATAACTTGATGAATTTACCCAACAAATCTTCCTCACAAAAATGCCTCTGCTGGATGATTTATTGTATGTCAGAATTTGGGCAGAATGCCTAAGGGTGTGCTGATGAACAATATTGAAGGGAAAGACTATTACTACTGGCATCTATAATGTCTTAATTGTAACTAACAGTGAAAAGTAATACTTTGTTTTCTCATAGCTTTATATCAAAGCTAACTGTCCAGTTTGCTTTTGATGATTAGTCATTAAGTCGGCCACTACAGCTAAGTCAAGAAGGACGCATTCTTGAGGTGGCTATTGAAGCAGCAGCTAATGAAGTGATCAATCTGAGGGACAGTTTGAACGAATGGGATAGCAAAGTTGGTGATGGTGACTGTGGATCAACAGTGAGCCCAATTCCCAAACTCTCTTTTCATTTAGATTTGCTGCTTGGTTCATATATCTTGTTTTTTATATCAATTTATTTGCTTTTGCAGATGTATAGAGGTGCAACAGCAATTCTAGAGGACATGAAAAAGTGGTAAGTTTTTCATCTGTATACTTGAAGTTCTTTTGATTGCTTTAAATGTGAAATTGTCTTTCCTATATGGTACATCCGTGCTCTTCCTATCCCCAATCCACCGTTTTGCTTTTACTTTTACTGGCTTAGTTGACAAATCATTTGTCTTTCTTTTCCCCAGTTATCCTTTGAATGATGCTGCAGAAACAGTGAATGAAATTGGAGCATCTATTAGAAGAGTCATGGGTGGAACAAGTGGAATCATGTACATTTCTTTCTTTGTCTCTGTACTGATTATGCTTTAACATTCATGTCTTGAAGCAATCAATTTTATTCATGTATACTTGAGCAACGTACTCTTTTTCTGAAACAGATACAATATATTTTGTAAGGCGGCATATGCACAGTTGAAAGCTAACACAAAGTCTGAGTCAGTTGTCACAGCAAAACAATGTGAGATAACTGTCCTCATGAGTTAAGCCTTCTCATGAAATAAGTTTTCTTACTAGCCTACTTTGACTAACGTATCTCTTGATTCAGGGGCTGAAGCTTTTGAAGCTTCAATTGCTGCAGTTAGCAAATATGGTGGAGCTGTTGCCGGATATCGAACATTGTTAGATGCCCTGATTCCAGCTGCATCGGTTCTTAAGGAGGTCAGTTGCTGCATTGCTATGATACCCATGAACTGTTTTCTTTTGAAGTTGACGTGCTGACTTATTTTATCCTGACATTTTATATCCAATCAGAGGTTAAATGCTGGGATTGATCCTTCCACTGCCTTTCTTTTATCATCAGAAGCAGCATTGGCTGGTGCTGAATCAACCAAACAAATGCAGGCACAGGTGATATTCTTATTGATCCCACCCCCATATATATCCACATATGTTAAAATCTCTCGAAACAATTGCTTAAAAATGCTGATGACGAAAGTCATCTCTGAGGGGAGATTTGAGATTCTTCTGCATATTTATCACATTGCTTTTTCATTTACTTGTTTGAGATCTAACCGAAAAACTGATTCAGGCTGGCCGTTCAACCTATGTCTCCGGAGAGATCCTTGCATCAGTTCCAGATCCTGGTGCCATGGCTGCTGCCGCATGGTACCGAGCAGCAGCCTTAGCTGTGAAGGATAAGTGTCAGGCTTCATGACCTGATGCAATTTTCTGCCCCATTTTGCCTACATACTTAACCCAGTGAAGTTTTGTTCTTGGCTACAGATTTTAACCCAGTGATTAGGCTATCCGCTTATGCATTTTTTGTGCGTAAAGCCGAGAAAGCGAGTTTTTTTTTTTTTTTTTTTGTTCTCGTACCGTATTGAAATTTCTTAGAGAAATGTAACTTTTAGAGGTTGATAAACTTCATTACGAATTATATACATTGAAGCAGATGTTGTAACTCAAAATCTTCAAAAAAATAACGACTGTTAGACTGGGATCTTATTTGCACCAGCCATATATGTCATGGTTTGGTACAGTTGACGCTAATCTTGTTTGGCCTATAAAAGATTGTACTATTTTTTCTTTTTCCTTAATGCATCTGTTATTGCATTTTCTTCTGCAATGACTTAATACTTCTACTTCATATAGACACTCTTACTTCATATGACACATTTTATGCCGTATTTTATAGCACAGAATCCTAGATTTTTTTTTTTTTTTTAATTCTTTCTGGTCAATTTTGCAGGAAACCAATTATGTTCCGATTACACGAGGTAATAGAGTGGTGCTCATGATCAATGGGTAGGTCAATGATTTCTTACATACTTTGGGTCAAAATTAACCTATTATGTTGCTGGAACTTTTGACATATTTTCTTTGCTTTTAACATGTGCTTACTCAGCTGAATTGAACGAAAAAACTTCTTTGTAATGGGGTTGTAAGAAGTTAAAAAAAATAGAAAAATCTCAAATTAGTCATGCATTTTGGAAGAAATTACAACCCCATATATTTCTGATTTGTAGTTAAATTTTTGTTCATTCCAAACTCATTAAGGCAGAACTTCTGTCTATGAGGAAAGGTTTCATTGTTATCTTATTATTTTACATGCAGCTTAGGTGCCACTCCTGCTATGGAACTGATGATTGCAGCCGGAAAAGCAGTCCCTAACTTGCAATTGGAGCATGGGCTGGCTGTTGATAGAGTGTACACAGGATCTTTCATGACTTCTCTTGATATGGCAGGTTTGTTGTTTTCTGCCAGCAGCATTGTGTTTAATTAATAATATAATGAAGCTCAGTGCTGTTTTCTTTCAGGATTTTCAATTACTATCATGAAGGCAGATCAAGGAATCCTGCAACGTCTTGATGCTGCAACTAAGGCTCCTTATTGGCCTGTTGGTGCTGATGGTGCGTGGTGTTTTAGAATATTGCATTCTTTCTTTGTGTTCTTGAATTCATTTTTGTTTATAAGATTGTCATGTATGAAACTTTCTTTCTGGGACTAGAATCATAAATTGTTGATCTTTATGCACTAGTATGAAGATAAATTTAACCTTTCAACAATAGTGCATATTGTCATAAGGCCTTTATTAAGGATCTTTATCCTTGTATAATTCCAGAAAAAAAATGTCAAAATGAAGTGCTATAGTGATTTTATTGCTGTTGAGCTTAGGAGTTGTCTACTTGCAGGTAGTCATCCACCTGCCAAGATTCCTGTTCCAATGCCACCTTCTCGTTCATCAAAGAGTGAGGAGGTTAGTTCCACAAACAAAATTATTTCCAACTTTCATACGTTCATCACAAATATATAATAGTGTTCTCCAAGAAAAGTTGCCCACTCACAAGTGACCTTCACATCTGTTGAGTGTTGACAAGTTCATGCCACTTGTATTATTTCTAGTAGACAAAGTTATTAGCAAAATATTTCCTCAGTTAACTGCTTGTCAGGTTATCTGTTGCAAGATAGCTTCATACTTCTGCCAAAGGTTCCTGTTGTCAAAAAATATGGACTTAGATTAGTTAGAGCTGAGATTCAATGACAATTGAAGATTTGCTAGGCTTCTACTCACAGATGGTCATTTGGAAGAACTGAAAATGGGAGATGAGGAAAGCAGAGAAAATAATTTCCCCCAAATAGTGAATATCAATAACTTGATGAATTTACCCAACAAATCTTCCTCACAAAAATGCCTCTGCTGGATGATTTATTGTATGTCAGAATTTGGGCAGAATGCCTAAGGGTGTGCTGATGAACAATATTGAAGGGAAAGACTATTACTACTGGCATCTATAATGTCTTAATTGTAACTAACACTGAAAAGTAATACTTTGTTTTCTCATAGCTTTATATCAAAGCTAACTGTCCATGTTTGGTTTTGATGATTAGTCATTAAGTCGGCCACTACAGCTAAGTCAAGAAGGACGCATTCTTGAGGTGGCTATTGAAGCAGCAGCTAATGAAGTGATCAATCTGAGGGACAGTTTGAATGAATGGGATAGCAAAGTTGGTGATGGTGACTGTGGATCAACAGTGAGCCCAATTCCCAAACTCTCTTTTCATTTAGATTTGCTGCTTGGTTCATATATCTTGTTTTTTATATCAATTTATTTGCTTTTGCAGATGTATAGAGGTGCAACAGCAATTCTAGAGGACATGAAAAAGTGGTAAGTTTTTCATCTGTATACTTGAAGTTCTTTTGATTGCTTTAAATGTGAAATTGTCTTTCCTATATGGTACATCCGTGCTCTTCCTATCCCCAATCCACCGTTTTGCTTTTACTTTTACTGGCTTAGTTGACAAATCATTTGTCTTTCTTTTCCCCAGTTATCCTTTGAATGATGCTGCAGAAACAGTGAATGAAATTGGAGCATCTATTAGAAGAGTCATGGGTGGAACAAGTGGAATCATGTACATTTCTTTCTTTGTCTCTGTACTGATTATGCTTTAACATTCATGTCTTGAAGCAATCAATTTTATTCATGTATACTTGAGCAACGTACTCTTTTTCTGAAACAGATACAATATATTTTGTAAGGCGGCATATGCACAGTTGAAAGCTAACACAAAGTCTGAGTCAGTTGTCACAGCAAAACAATGTGAGATAACTGTCCTCATGAGTTAAGCCTTCTCATGAAATAAGTTTTCTTACTAGCCTACTTTGACTAACGTATCTCTTGATTCAGGGGCTGAAGCTTTTGAAGCTTCAATTGCTGCAGTTAGCAAATATGGTGGAGCTGTTGCCGGATATCGAACATTGTTAGATGCCCTGATTCCAGCTGCATCGGTTCTTAAGGAGGTCAGTTGCTGCATTGCTATGATACCCATGAACTGTTTTCTTTTGAAGTTGACGTGCTGACTTATTTTATCCTGACATTTTATATCCAATCAGAGGTTAAATGCTGGGATTGATCCTTCCACTGCCTTTCTTTTATCATCAGAAGCAGCATTGGCTGGTGCTGAATCAACCAAACAAATGCAGGCACAGGTGATATTCTTATTGATCCCACCCCCATATATATCCACATATGTTAAAATCTCTCGAAACAATTGCTTAAAAATGCTGATGACGAAAGTCATCTCTGAGGGGAGATTTGAGATTCTTCTGCATATTTATCACATTGCTTTTTCATTTACTTGTTTGAGATCTAACCGAAAAACTGATTCAGGCTGGCCGTTCAACCTATGTCTCCGGAGAGATCCTTGCATCAGTTCCAGATCCTGGTGCCATGGCTGCTGCCGCATGGTACCGAGCAGCAGCCTTAGCTGTGAAGGATAAGTGTCAGGCTTCATGACCTGATGCAATTTTCTGCCCCATTTTGCCTACATACTTAACCCAGTGAAGTTTTGTTCTTGGCTACAGATTTTAACCCAGTGATTAGGCTATCCGCTTATGCATTTTTTGTGCGTAAAGCCGAGAAAGCGAGTTTTTTTTTTTTTTTTTTTGTTCTCGTACCGTATTGAAATTTCTTAGAGAAATGTAACTTTTAGAGGTTGATAAACTTCATTACGAATTATATACATTGAAGCAGATGTTGTAACTCAAAATCTTCAAAAAAATAACGACTGTTAGACTGGGATCTTATTTGCACCAGCCATATATGTCATGGTTTGGTACAGTTGACGCTAATCTTGTTTGGCCTATAAAAGATTGTACTATTTTTTCTTTTTCCTTAATGCATCTGTATTCTTTACACAAGGTTTGTTAATCTTCATACTCATGATGGATAAATATTTTAAATTAATTTTTAGATGGGCTAATTTCACTCAAATTCTTCCTAGCAATTTACGTTTAGGAAAGTTGCAGGTAGTTTTAGTGATGCAAATTCTTCGGGAAGGCCCGAGGTGCATTCTAACAATGCGAGCTTGAGTAAGGGGAAAAGTTTGGGTTTTTTATAATGTTAGGTTTATAACTCTTTTTTACAACTTTTAACATAATAATTCGTTATTGATTAATTTGTAAATGGATAGATGAAACCTTTTTTTATAAACTGATCAATGACGAACTGTTATGTTGAAAATTATAAAAGAAAATTGTGAGATTAAGTTGTAAATTTAGAATTACTCTTTCTATCCAGTCCTGACTTTTAGAGTGTTGGTCTGGGTTTGATTGATGAAAAGGGGTTTTTGAGATAACTATCTGCCATTTTCAAAATTTTATATAATACAGCCGGCCCAGCCGGGCCTACCAATGCCCGGATCCGGCCCGGGATGTACCCGGTTTGCTTGTCTACAATATTTTGAGCTGGGTGCCCGCCAAAGACTCCATGCGAAGAGCCTGATTTATCTGTGAAGCTTTTACCATAAACATGCCCGCAAAATGTTCTTCACCACTCTCCGCCACCACCCGAAACTCAACTCTCTCACAAAACCAAATCTCAATCTCACACTCTTCCTCTCAACTCACCAAAACTCTCCAGAGCGCCTCCACAACACTGCCACCGTAACCAAAACCATCCACGAACTCTGCACCCAACACCACAACGTCGACGAGGCGCTTCGCCTTCTCGACCACCTCCGACTTGTCAGTTACGAACCCAATTCCCTCAATATTAACTCCATTATTCACGCCCTTTGCGACGCCCGCCGCTTTTCCGAAGCACACCACCGTTTCCTTCACTTCGTTTCCTCCAATTGTGTCCCCGACGAGCGCACCTGTAATGTGATTATTTCCCGCTTGCTGGGTTCCAAAACGCCGCATAACACTTTGAAGGTTGTGCGTTGTTTGTATGATGTTAAGCCCGAGTTTGTGCCTTCTTTGGGGAATTACAACTGTTTGATGGATCAGTTTTGTGGGTTGTCTCAAGTTGGTGAAGCTCGTAGGTTGTTTTTTGAGATGAAGAGTAGAGGGCATAGGCCTAATGTTGTTTCTTATACTATTTTGGTTAATGGATATTGCCGAGTTGGCGAAATTGAGCTTGCGTATAGGGTGTTTGATGAAATGCGTGAATCGGGAGTAGCGCCCAATTCGTTGACGCATAGTGTTTTGATTGGTGGGGTTTTTAGGGTACGTGACGTTGAGAGAGGAACGGAGTTGATGGGTAAGCTTTGGGAGAGGATGAAGGAAGAAGATGACGCGCATGTGAAGAGTGCGGCGTTCGCTAATCTTGTTGAATCTTTGTGTAGAGAAGGGTATTTTAATGAAGTCTTTAGGATTGCTGAGGATATGCCGCAAGAGAAGAGTGTGAATGAGGAGTTTGCCTACGGGGAAATGATTGATTCACTTTGCAGAGCGGGAAGGAACCATGGCGCTTCAAGGGTGGTTTATATAATGAGGAAAAGAGGATTTATGCCAAGTTTAGTTTCGTATAATTCAATTTTGCACGGGCTTTGCAAAGAGGGAGGCTGTATGAGGGCTTATCAATTGTTAGAGGAAGGTGTTCGATTTGGGTACTTGCCATCCGAGCATACTTACAAGGTTCTAGTAGAGGGTCTTTGCTGTGAATTGGATCTCCACAAGGCAAGGGAAGTCCTCCAGCTGATGTTGAGTAAAGAAGATGTTGACAGGACTAGAATTTACAATATATATTTGAGAGCTCTTTGTCTTGTGAATAACCCGACTGAGCTTTTAAACACACTTGTTTTTATGTTTCAGACGCAATGCCAACCGGATGTGATAACTCTCAATACTGTCATAAATGGGTTTTGCAAGATGGAGAGGATTGAAGAAGCTTTAAAGGTTCTTGATGATATGATGATGGGAAAATTTTGTGCCCCCGATGCTGTGACCTTCACTACTATTATTTTTGGTTTGTTGAATGTTGGAAGAATACAAGAAGCTCTCAGTTTATTGAATCAAGAAATGCCGCAAAGGGGATTTAGCCCTGGTGTTGTGACATATAATGCGGTTCTTCGTGGTCTATTTAGAGTCCAGCAAGTAGATGAAGCAATGGAGGTTTTCCATTGCATGATAAATAAGGGTGTGGTTGCTGATGTTGCAACTTATGCAATAGTAATAGATGGATTATGTGAGGCTAACCGAATAGACGAAGCTAAGAAGTTTTGGGACGAGGTTATCTGGCCCTCAAATATTCATGATAACTATGTTTATGCAGCTATGCTCAAAGGGCTTTGCCGCTCTGGTAAATTAAATGAGGCTTGTCATTTTTTATATGAACTTGTAGATTCTGGAGTCTGTCCAAATGTTGTGGGCTATAATATTGTGATCGACAGTGCTTGCAAGTTAGGCAAGAAAAGAGAGGCCTATCAAATTCTAGGAGAAATGAGAAAAAATGGAATGAATCCGGATGCTGTAACTTGGAGGATTCTTGATAAGCTACATGGCAAAATAAGGAAATGAATTAGTTTAAAATTCAGCTCAGCCCGATCCAGGGAAATCATATAGAATATGGAGATAACTCAACCCCAATCAGCCCGGCTAAATTTGGCCGAAAGAAGAAACAGAACATTTGGGACAAATATCTTAATTTGGCTCTTAATGCACCTCAGAAATTCAGTGGGCGGAATCCATATGAGGTGAGAAAGTCTTTTAATTGCTTTGGTTAATTTTACACAACAACAATAAATGCTTACAGATAATCTCTGTGTTTTTGTTTCCGGATCAAGCTTGATTATAGTGATCGCATTTAACGAAACAATCAGGTAATTTTATCTCCTTCTAGGGCAGCCAGTAAAATAGACATCTTAGACAGTCTGTCTATGTAAATAGTTGGAAAATTTCATTAAATTGTTAGGGATTAGTTTGTGTTTTTCTTGATGGCAGTGGAATCATCTCATCCCACCAAGGGCCTTCTCTAACACATTTAAGGAAATTTTCTTTTTACTTCACTATCAAGGAAGGTTTTTTTCTGCCTAGGGATGGCAATGGACCGACGCGGGCCGGGATTATCATCCTGTCCTCGAAAGAACTGATTTGGGGATCGAGATGAATCGGGGATACCTCATATTAAAGTTAATCCTCGCCTTAACCATTTTTTTTTTTTTTGGTTATTATGAGTACGGGATTCCTAGTTTTCTTTTTCTTTTTTTAAATAATTTGTAAATTATTTTTTTCAATTTTGTAGGGATAACATTACTCTTTTGATTGTTACATCGTTTATCCTTAATAAATAAATAGTTTTTTCTATATGCATTCTTCCTTTTATCGCAAGACAATCAATTTGTTTTAAAAAGTTGGTAAATGTAATTGTAATGTTATTTTTTCTATTAAACTTGATCATCTGTGGATAGACCCGATACTTAGGATCAATTAGGGATAATATGGATAGATGTACGATCATAAGTTTAATTCTCATCTGAGTATTCTTGATTTAAGTAAAAGATCGTATATTGCTATACTAATCTCTTTTGAAAATATGGCTCGCTGACTAAAAAGAAAAACGTTTTATCAAAAAATTATATCACTTATATTGCAACTTTCGGCCTAAACTTAGCTCGGCCCATGATATTTCATATTTGCTCTCTTAATTGCATTTAAAACTACTAAAAGACTTCTAATGGGCTGCCAACACGTGGTGTATTTGTACCCGTGACTTTTTGTTGATTTTAATTTTACATATATTAATATCTTTTTAATCCGTCAACGTAAGGAGGCTAAGGTGGTAATTTAATATGTTTTTCAGTTCCATTTTTTTAGCTCTCCCACGGCCTCACCGTTATTCTTAAGTTCAGATCATTCACTGCATCCGTAAAGAAGCCTGAATAATGGAATTACTCTTTTGTCCTTGGACTTTTTTGTACTGGAATTGGACCCATCGAGTGGGTCACTGAATCACCGTTTAATATTTGAGTCAACACGTAGCCACCGTCAGATCTCACGAAAGAATCTGATTCTTGCTCGAACGCGAAGCTAGTAATCTCCATAAGAGTCGTTGGGTCAACATATATTTTCTGCGCTAAGCTCAGCTAAGAGATATTTTTCAATTTTCTTTCAAAGGCTCTGTAGAACTTTAAACGAAGAAGAAGAAGAAGAAGAAGAAGATGACTGAGCAACTCACCGAGGAGCAGATCGCCGAGTTCAAAGAAGCCTTCAGCCTCTTCGACAAAGACGGCGATGGTAACCTTATCATCATTCTTTTGTTATTATTATTAAAAAAAATTGAGGCTCAAAGCAGCATGATACATTTATTTACTATCGTGTTTTTGAGTTGCTGGATCTTCACGACCAGTTCATATTTTTCGTCATTCTTTTGTTTGGTAGATTTGTGCTTCGTATTTTTGAATCCTTTTGTTATCTATATAAACTCTAGACTCAGTACTTCGTAGTTTTGAATTACTGGATCTTCACGAGTTCATCTTTCAGAGTTCTTTTGTTATGTAAATTCTAGGCTTAGTGCAACTCGAAACATTTACTTTCGTATATTTGAACCACTGGATCTTCACAACGAGTTTATAATTTTTCATTATTCTTTGTTATATGAATTTTAGGCTACACAAAACATGAGGCGTGTGGTTCAATATTTTTTGAATTACTGGATCTTCGCGAGATTAGATATGTGTTCATATTTTTCATCATTCTTTTGTCATATATAATTCTAGGCTCAACACAACATGAGAGATGTAGTTTGTGTATTTTTGAATAAATGGATCTTCATAACATGAGATGCCTGTTCATATATAAATTCTAGGCTTGGTTTCTGTGTTAATATAAATTTTTGAGCATTTTTTTCTTAATTAACTTGAAATTAATTTAAAGTATTCGCTACTTATTAAACCTACAGGTTTGATTTAAAATTAGGCATAAATTTCCGTCCCTTTTTTTTAATCTTAATCTGAGGGATTAGAGTTTCTGAGTTGACAATGTTGAATTTTATCGATAACTTAAAAATGTCATTTATGGTATTTCGTACATAATTTTAAAGTTATAAGAATCTGGAAAAAATGACTATTTTTATATGTTGTTCTGAAATTATGATATTTTTGTATAGGTTGTATCACTACCAAAGAGTTGGGGACAGTGATGAGATCTCTGGGACAGAATCCAACTGAAGCTGAACTTCAAGATATGATCAATGAAGTGGATGCTGATCAAAATGGGACTATTGATTTCCCTGAATTTTTGAATTTGATGGCACGCAAAATGAAGGTAGTTCAGTTCTAAATATGTCAATCTTATAGTGTCTGTGTGCTTGTCATCGCTCCAGTTATTTTATCGACTATGCTTCCTTGTTTTGGATGAATGTTTTGATTTTCTTGATACAGTTGTTTACATCATTAATCTCAAATTGCATATTGGAATTGTTTTAAGTAGTCATATCAACTTGATGTTGACACTTGACAGTTCCCTAGTGCCATTTGAACTTCTAACCAAATTATATCTGTTGGGCTTTTCTATGTTGCTAACTTGATAATTTTGGCACTAGACTTTTGTTGTCGACCATTGTGATTGTAACATTGAAAGTCAACTCATGATGAACTAGTGCTTTCCGATTTGGATTAATTCTTTTTCTTTTAAAAAAATAAAAATAAAAAACAGAGCTATTGTGGAGTGACAATAACAGACCTTGTACTGATATTCTTGATGGTGTAAATATTTCTATAATTCTGTTACATATAATGTGTCTTTATACATGATAGACCAAACTTCACTGAACTGGTACAAAAGCATGGTGAAAGCATATAGACTCCTCCAGTGTATCATGAAAATTGACAGATGATGCCTGTAAGTCGGGGTGTTCTGTAGTTTTTATTTCATCGAAGCAACTAGCTCTCTTTTTTCTGATCCTCTGGTGCATTAGTTGTGTTGTGGCTGAATAAAATCTTTACTCTTTGAAACCAAATTTCATGATGCCAAGGCCAAAGATGATGCCACCTTTTAGCAAGAAAGTCTCTTATTCTCAATCTTTCTTATGATGTCCTGCATCATCACTTTTATTACCGTGGCTTATTTCTAGCCACTGTAACTGCAACAAAGTTATGAGAATCCTTTCTTCACAAATATTCTTTTTTACTTGAAATTTTATACCTCATTCTGTTTATTTTGGGTTTTTAGTACCTATTACTTGGTATAAATTTTTCTAGAGTTATTGGGATGTAGCCAAATTTTTTATACTTGAACTTATCATAATGTCTGTATCAGTAAAAGTTGTAATTGGATTTTATTGTGTTTATTTTTTTATTTTTGAAGGACACTGATTCTGAGGAGGAACTGAAAGAAGCCTTCAAGGTTTTTGACAAAGATCAAAATGGTTTTATTTCTGCTGCAGAGGTACGTAATTAGTAGTAATGTTTATATTCCCAAGCCCTCCCCCATTTTTGTTTATCAAGAAAATCTAGATAATAAACCAACTTGTTCCCATTCCTTTAAGGAGAAACAATCTAAATAATACCTATTAATTAATACAGAGACCAAAAAATAAATAAAACTGAAAAAAGAGAAGACTGGAGGAAGAAAGGAGATAGTAATGTGATTTAACTGAATATGAGACACTATTACTTTTTAGATCTGTGTATGTAGGTATTCAGTTTAAGAAAAAAACTCCTATTTTGGATTTGTTTACTAGTATTAATGGTTTCTGTGACTTTGAAATTGTGCAGCTTCGACATGTCATGACAAATCTTGGAGAGAAGCTGACAGATGAAGAAGTGGAGGAGATGATCCGAGAAGCAGATGTTGATGGTGACGGTCAGGTGAATTACGAAGAGTTTGTTAGGATGATGCTGGCGAAGTGATTGTAGTTATTTTGGGGAGGACATGGTAGGGATATAAGATTTACCCAATTATATGTCATAGTAGCTGTATCTCTTGTTCTACTTTTTTTTAATTTCCCTTCTAGTCTTTGTTGATTTGGATTTCTTACCTGTTATGCTTGGTTGAATTGGAGCTCAGTTTTATTTTACTTGCATTATAAAGATTATATCGATATTTATCTCGGCTTTCGTTTTCTTGCTCTGTTTCCTATTGAAAGATGCAATTTGTCTCAGTTGTGGCTATTGTTGTGTCTTTTGAATTGGTACTAACTCAGTGGCTAGATTTTGTGTCGGATGGGTGCTATAGCTTGTTCACATTTCAAATTGGCGATTCCTGTTGTGACACTCCTTGTTGCATATATTTCAATGTTATGCCGGTTTTGATACTGTAAGAGTCTTAGACCCAGCAGGCCTTATTTTATGCAACTGTCTTCGGCTCTATGAGCTTAACTTCTTTAGCGCTGTATACTGTTACTGCTGCTTTTTCGCCATAAAAAATCTATGGTTTAATTTACATGGGAAAAGTTCTCCGTCCGGCATCGTTAAGTGTTTCGGCAATTAAAGTCGCTATTACAAGTCCACATGAGTCGAGGAGTCAACTTTGAATATTTTCCATATGTCCAGAAACACAGCACATGGTTTTGACTGATTGCAAAACCTTGCTTTGATAAGTTAGGATTCAAAGTGAAGCCCTAATTTATTCAGGATTATGACCAAATTTTAGTGCAAAAATCTACATCACTTGTTATGAAGCTTCCGAGAAAGAGAAATCTTGAATATATATAAACTATGAAATCATTGAACGAGTAACATTTTCAATCCATAAGAAGAACAAATAAAGCACCCACAATAACTCATACATCATGAGTCCATGTAAATAACCCAAAGAGACGGTGCATTTATTATTTATTTAAACTATGGTTAATGAAAAACTAATAAAAGTTACGGTAATTTTATGAATAACAACATGAATCTTTGTACTTTATAAATAAAACCTAAACAAATCTCCATCAACCTAGTTAACTTTTTTCCTTCTTTTATAACTTTTTCATATAATTAATTATATAATTTTTTTTTTTTACTTTTTTTCCTCTTTTATAACTTTTTCATATAATTAATTAATTAATTTTTTTTTTTAAATTAGAAATCCCTAAATTCAACTTATAACACCTGGAGAACGTCAACGCAGGGTTTCTCTCTGGGTTTAAATAGAATTCACTACAAAAAACTAGCGAATGAATCCAATTATATATATACACTATAATATTCCACCAACTTAATTATCATTGGATGACCTAGCAGCGATCAACTATGACTTTTGGGTGTATTATTCAAGAAGTCCTGATTTCAATTTATCTGGATTACTAATAAGGATGGTCATTGAGAGGATTTACCTAGTTGTCAACTTCAGGACCCCGAAAGATTAGTTGAAGTCTGTGCAAGCTGGCTCGGATAAGCCCCATTCACCACACACACCACACACCAAAAAAAAAAAAAAATCCACCAACTTGATATTGTGAACAAATTCAACTTCTAGCAAAGATAATAAGAGCAAATCACATACGGTAATTCTCTGTAATCGCTAACAATATTCATCACAAACTAAAAGAAAAACACTTATTATTATTATTTTAAATTTTTCTTTTTAACAATAACACCATGATGCTCATACAAGAAGCAAAAAAGGAATTAAGTAGAAAATAAAAAAAAAAAAAGGATCAGAAATTAACACACACAACAACAACAAAAAAAAAAAAATAATCTCCAATTTGTCCTCTACTGATCCGTTGTAAAGAAGAAGCATTTCCAGTTGAAGCTGAAGAAGGAAGAGAGTTCTTATGATTATGCATCCCCACTTTGAAACCTTGTCTACTCACTCCAACTCCTCTGCAAAATTTCTCAACTTCACTTCTTCATCTTTTCTTTGCAATTTCCACCCCAACTTCTCCGCAAACCCCAGCATTTTCTCCTTCTGTTCCGAGCTAAACTTGGTCCTGAACCTCTTTCCCCACTCCTCTCCGCCGTCTCCACCCCGCCTGCACCCTCCGGCTCCCCCCTTCAGTGTACTCCATTATCTCCATTGTGGTGGTGACGTCGCTGCTCGCCGTGTGCTGAGCTTGCGGTGGAAGTTGCGGTGGCACCCACATGCAGCGCAGTTTAGAGAGGTCGGTGATGAGTCGTCGAGGGTGAACTCCCCGCAGCCGTCGGTGGCGTAGCTGCCGATCGTCTCTGCATGTTTCCTTAAACACTCTCTGTAATTGTGCTGATACTCTCCATCCCTCTCCCTCACCTCTTTCTTGGTTTTTCTCTTTGCTTGAGTCTAAAGAGTTTTTTTTTTTTAAGTGTTTGTATTTGAAGGTTGAAGGTTTTTCGACCATACATGCTCTGAATTTTAGGACAGGATTATCACATCAGTTTATATTAATATAGGGTTTTTTAATATATTAAAATTCTAACTATCAAATCGATCTTTCAATGATTAATAAGTGAATCGTTGTATGAAATTGAAATGATATATAAATGAGTTGTTAGGGTTGGACAATAAATAGGGGTTGGGAGAGCATAAATAGATTAGATTGGGATGACTTTCGCACTTTAAAATGTTGGGGGATTCTATCACCACAACCACAACCTCCACGACAAGCCACAAACATGTCACATCCACATTGAAATTTGCATTCCTTTTTATTTTTAACCAATTAATATTATAGAATTTTTAGGTGAATATAACAAATTTTTGTGTAATATTTTATATATATATATATATATATATATACTGATAATTAAGTCTTGGATTGTGTGTTTGATTTAAGGAATAGGTGAAGGTAAACCCAAGGATGACTTGACGTTAATAAGGTTCCTCAATTTTTTGATTTTTTTTGTCAAACTTTAAGACCACTTATCGTAATAATATGTACTTACTGGTTTTTTGGACTTGTAAGATGTTCAATAGGCCCTGAAATTATTAGATAAGCATAAACTGGTCCGACACCCCATTATAAAAAAAAAAAAATGGATGAAAGGTGGGTGTATAATATGGATGAATTTTGATAAATTTTATGAAGGGGTTTAGCAATTTTCATATTTTTAACACGAATTTTAGATAATTTTAAAAGTGGTGAGATTTGTTTGTATTATTTTATTTCTATTCAATCTAATTAAGTATTATTTTGGACTAAATGTTTCAAGCATTAAAATCACAACGAAATAGATATTATTTGTTATATCTTTCAGGTCACGATTTTATCATGAATGTAGATTTAACAAAGTCAAAGAGTTTATCAATTATTGTTCTAAACAACGTGTTCTGATAACATAAAATAAGTTAAGATAGAATTCACTGTAAAAAACTAACTCAAAGGAGAAAAGAATTCAACCATAATATACACCATAAAATTTATCAAATTAACGATGACAATAAATATAAACTTAATACAACAAATAATAATACAAGAGTAATAATAACCACTAAATTAATTTTCTTGTCATTCATCTTATAAATTATAAATATTGAGATATCTAATATAATATTTACAAAAGTTAATATATAATAAATAGGGAATTCCTTAATTGTAAAAAAAAAAAAAAAAAATAAGGGAGGTTAAAGGTCATAAATATAATAAAAAGGTGAATTTAAGCTGTAGAGGGGCCCTGAAGAGTATGGGGGGTGATTCAATAATTGACTTGGGAACAGAGAAAATAAAGTCTTTTCATAATTGAATTTTACAATAAGCCTTTGCCAGTTCTTCATTCTTTCTGTTTGCATGCACTTCACAAACTATGTCCTACTGCTCATTCAAGAATCTTGGTCTGTATTGCACTTAAATCATGGTTGTTTGTATCATACATTATCGTACATATCATATGATATTGGATATATTTAACGATATATATTAAAAAGTATATCTTAAACCATTCGTTACGTTAATATGTATCTTACGATACGATACATATCCATTCGTATCTTTAAAATATCGATATGATTTTATTAATTTGGACTAAACCCAAAAGAAAAATTTCTGCTTTTACATGCACTTCACAATTATGTCCTACTGCTCATTCAGAAGATTCTAGGCTGTATGCACTTCAATTAACTATTTCTTTTTATTTGAGGATAAAACTGTGATGTTAGTTGGGGAAATTAAGTCAATGCAATCAAAATTTAACTTTTTAAATGATCTTTACATGTTTAATGCGGACACACGTTAAGACGACTTTAGATGATGATGTGGGAAATGTAAATAGTGTGAATAAAATTAGACATTTCGGATTCCTCAACACACATGATGTTAGGTGGGAAATTATTTCTAGTGACAATAAAAATTTTAACGATCTTTAACACATGACGGTGTAATACATTTAACTCACTAAAATAAAAATGAATCTATAATGGAGGGTGGTGTGAATTGCAAGAAACATTGTAAGGATATATTCAAATTTTAACTTTTAAACAATCTTTAACATATGCATTACGACATACGTTAACAACGACTAAGATAAAATGAATGCAATGCGAACACATTTTAAGAGACCTAAAATAATGAATGTATACGACACGTTAAAACGCTTGAGATAAATGAATGCAGTGCGGACACAGTTAAGACAACCTAAAGATAAAATGAATGCAGTACAAACACACGTTAAAACGACCTGAGATAATGAATGCAGTGCGGACACATGTTAAATAAACCTAAAGATAAAATGAATGCAGTATGGAGACACGTTAAAACGACCGAGATAAAAGAATGGAAGATGAGAGGAGGTGGGGTGGAATTGATGAAAAGGGTGAGGTTAGGTGGGGAATGGGGGGCAGAAGTTTGCTGGTTATTCACTTGATATGTCCGGGGAAACGTTCCTAAGTCTTTAGTGACCATTTATTTTGTTTCCTTTTCAGTGTCAGGTCACTATTCTATTTAACTTTTTTTTTTTTTTTTTTTTTCATTTATGTGACCACAAACTCCACTTACCCACTTGAATAGAAAAAAAAAATTTAAAAAAATAATGAAGAACCCTTATCTAAATCCAATTTGTGCCCACTATCCATATGGGCTTGTGTCCCAAAGTCTTTAATTTACTTTGAAAGTTGTTATTATAGTCCCGATGGCCGCGGCAATGGGTTATTATAAGATAGTTTCTCTTAAAAAATAGTTCAGATATATGTAACTTAGTCTAAACACTTCCATTAACAAAAAGAAAAAAGAAAAATTGTTTTCAAAAACAATTTTCGAACGCAATCCTAAAAACTAGTGTAAGATTGAGAAACAATTCACAGTTTTCTATAACTTTGAATATGAAAACAAGTTTGAAATATTATATCAAACGTACTTTTAAATATAAAAAATATTAAAATATACCTCAGAATTTTGAATCGTATTTTAGTTTTATGAAATTTATTCTTGAATCACAAATCAAATAGACAATCTCCCTATAGTTATTTAAAAAAAGTGCACATAAAAGTATTAAAAAGCCCTTTGATATATAGAAATATGTAATAACTTTTGAAAATAATAGGAATCTGATAAAACCCTATTTTGAAAATTTAATAGTTTTTATTATATGGCTAAGAGTGTTAGCTTATGAGATTAAAGTTTATTTTAATGTTCTTGTTTGGTTATTTTTATGTTTGTATCATTGTATTTTGTATGTTTACAAATATATAAGTTTTTGGAATTATTTTTCTATTATAATTATTTTATTTTCCTTCACAACTATGTTTTGATGATATAAAAAAAAAATTATTTGTCCATTGATTTTAAATATTTATAGATTAAGATTAGAGGATGATTAGTTGAACTATTAAGATTGATTTAATTTGGTTATTAATCTAGTCAAGCTAGTTAAATTTAGGGTAAGATACACTTACCAATTCTGCATACCAACTTCCCATCCTGATTGATGTGGAGTGCAACATGGTCAGGCCAAAATCTGTAAATGTAGCATTTTCTTTAAATGTATCAAATTACTTGATAAATGCTTAAATTAGCAAAAGGGTTTATTCTTTGAACAATTAATGAATACAAAATTTTTTAAGTATAGACATAAAACCTAAAAATTATTGTATATTATTTAATAATATATGATTTTTTATTTTTTTTGTTATTTAATAAATTAAATTAGCATTGGACGTGGTCGAGGTTGCATTGAGAAGGAAGCTGAATGGCTTGATCGAAATCGATTCCAAAAATACTCATCATCATGGTGTCCTCTTTGTATTCACAGAAGCAATTCAAATGATCAGGCCGAGCAACAAGCAGATGAAGGAGACTTGAGGATCTTCCAATACCACGGCAGGTTGACATTCCTCTAGCTCTTCCTTGGTCATGCCGCAGAAGCCTTCCGTGTTCGCCGGTAGGGGCTTAAATGCAACAAATGAAACCATCACCATGGCAAAGATGCCAAAAACCTTCTTTGTGCATGCCAACCTCTTTTATGTTGTGTTTGCTCTATGGAGAGGGAGATGTCAGGGTTTTAATATTTTGGGTTGGTTTTTTTTTTTTTTTTTTTTTTTTTTTTTTTTTTTTTTTTTTTTTTTTTTTTGCATTTTCACCCTTTGCCGAAGACTATGAGATGTCAAGTTAACTCGTATGATATGCACTCGTCCTATCATTAGTCGGTAGTCGTAATATTTCTGTTGTACGAAGATTTTAATGACACTATCACAAAAATTTGTGAAATTACTGTAGATAAATACGTTCATCAGATACTTTGGTTGAATTACATCTTCTTTTCAAATATTACGTCTCCAAAACATTATAAAAAAAAGAATGTTTATAAATCATTGTTAGGGCCAAAAATCATCTTTGCTTGACGAGGCTCAATAACGAAATAAACATGTCATGGCCAGGCCTCAACCCCAATCTCGATTGGGCCTAGGCTTAAAATCACCTTGAACTCCCCCCTCTATGAGTTGGGCTATCCTATAAATTAAGTTAAACTGGATTTCAGCCCATTAGCCTGCGGTTGCAACAGTCTATAAATAGGAAATCAGAATCTCATTCTTTTTCCTCTTCTACTAAGATTCTAAATCTTACTCAAACTATTAAACTTGATTTGATAAGGTCAAGAAATCATATCTCTTTCATGATAGAGGATTACTTCCCAAAATAGGACTTAGTGTCCTACTAAGATTCCAAATTTTATTTAAATTATTAAACTTAATCTGATAAGGTTAAGAAATCATATCTTTTTCATGATAGGGATTATCTCCTAAAAAAGAGGACTCAATGTCTCATAGTCAATCTACACTACTCAAAACCATCTATTTGCTCCTAAAGTTCTTGTTCCCAAGAACCGAACATGTCCGTCGTAGTCCTAGCTTCAGACAAGACTCGTGGTAATTCTTCATCTCTTTAATTCTTACCAAATAATCTTTTTCAGCCTTGCTGACTTGGGCGTCAGAGTGCCTACAGCAAACACCACCCCGGTGTCTTCCGAAAGCTTTACGCTTGCCCTTTCATGCGTGCAGGTCTAACGGATTATCAGTGTTCTCAATCTCACGGGATCAGACCCTATTTTCATTACGGTAGATTTTTTGCATCTACAATCATAAATTAAAAAAAAAAAAAAACAAATTGGATCCAAGGAGTATATGAAAAGATACAAAATTTATGGCCGTAATAAATAGAACAAGATTCTCTCGTGACTTTTTATCTTAGCAAAAATCAATATTGTCACCAATGGATAATAAGATAAGAAAATAAAATTATAAAGAAAAAAGAAAAAAGGAATAAATTTTCAGTCTTGGGTATTAACCCTTGTAATGGAAAAAGTATTTCAGGTTAATCTTAATATATTAGCTTAATATATTGTTTTAAGAAGAATCACCCGAGAGATTTATACCATCATTAATGACTAATGAGCACTATATATATATAATAATAATAAATATTAAAAAATAACAAAATGGCCCTTTTGTGCCTCGCCACTCTGGGTCGAACCGAGCAAAAATCTTGAAACAGTAAGCTTCTTAAACTTGACATTCTTGACTCAAATCTTTAGCATTTGTTATTATTTTTTAGTTGATTTTGTTTTTTTGAACTTTTAGTAGTGACCCAGATGGATTTTAGTTGAAATTTTTTTGTGGGTGTTTAGTTTTTATCTTTGTTTCACTAATATTGTTGATTTGTTTTTGCTTGAGCTCCAACATATGATTTTGTTTGATGTTTGGCTTCATTTTGTTTCTCGGTTTGCTAGGTGAAGGGGGTTTTGTGGATGGATTGTGGGGAAATTTGATAAAGATTGATTTGGGTTTGCAGTTTTTTAGATTTGGATTTTTTGGTTTGGTATAATGGATGGAGATAATAGTTTGAATATAAGTAATTGGGGTTACTATGAGCCAACAAGCTCCTTTAAAGGTCATATGGGTGGACAGTTTTCGTCATTGGGTATGCCTGACAAGCCTCTTGTTGGTGCTCGAAATGCTGCTGCAATGATGGCTAGTGCCACTGGAGCGCTTGACGAGAGGGATGTGTACTCGATGGGGTATTTGAGGGATGCTTGGATTAGCCGGGAACGGTTTGTAAATGTGTTGCCTGGAAATTTTGATTATGGCATTGTGCCGGAGACATCCACAGATCATTGTATGCAGATTAATCAAGTAACAGAGTGTACGGATGAAATGGTTAATCAAGTAGAAGAGGTGGTCTGTCAAAAGGATGGTGGGGGTACCAGGAAAAGGCAGGGCCCCAAAGCACCTAAATCTCCAAAGAAAGCTAAGAAAGGCCCTCAAGTGCTGAAAGGAGAGAATGGTTCCGTGGCTCAACAAGCGAGGTCAAAAAGGAAACCTGCAGAAATTATGATAAATGGGGTTGATATGGACATTTCTAGTATTCCCATACCGGTTTGCTCTTGTACCGGGACACCTCAGCAGTGTTATCGCTGGGGCTGTGGTGGGTGGCAATCTGCATGTTGTACAACAGCGTTGTCATTGTATCCCTTGCCAATGAGTACCAAAAGGCGAGGAGCAAGGATAGCTGGGAGGAAAATGAGTTTAGGAGCTTTTAAGAAGGTTTTGGAGAAACTTGCTGCTGAGGGTTATGACTTCTCTAATCCAATCGATTTGAAGACTAATTGGGCTAAACATGGTACAAATAAGTTTGTCACCATCAGGTAGATGTACTTCTTGGATCCTAATATCTGTATCCCCATGTATTTGGCATGTCTCTCATGTAAATATATGTATTTAACTATCTGCTGAATTTTCAGAGGTAGTTTGTAGTCTTTGAATTTTCTCAGGCACGTGGAATGTTCTTTGACTTGTGCCTTTTCAGAATGTATCTGGATATGCTCTTTACTGTTTGTAGTTTAGGAACATTGATCTTATCGGATGTTAAGAGCGGAATGTAGTTGTGAAGATTATTTTTTTCCTTGTAACTGCAATCCTTTTCTTCTCTTGACCTTAGCATGCAATCGAAAATACATTTTGTCTCACAAAAATATATATTTCATCAAGTTTTTGTTTGATGATCTACACCTTTACATAAGTACTGATTAGTTTTGATATAGCGTTCTTTATAAGTTTAAACATGGTAGGATTTTTATTGATTAGATAAGTTATAGATACAAATTGTTACCAGATTGGAGCCATGAATTTAGTCATTGAAGTAATTTTGTTTAATATATACTTAGTTAAATACTTTTATATGCGAAGTTTATGTTTGAAGAATTCAGTATCATATTTTTTCATTTCTTCTTGCTCATTGGATTGTTGCTGGCAATCCCATGACAGTTTCGTTGCATGACTGAAGAACCAATAAGTTAATGGAACACATACCAATATAAGTTCGAAGGATTGTGTTTTACTTTTAAAACTTTCATTTGGGAGAAAATATGAATATGATATTGAATTCTCAGTAGATTGCTATAGAACATTGATGATATGCCCCCTAGTTGATCTCTAAATTAGTGATGAATGTAATTTTTATTTTTGTTGTTGTTATAGAGCTTGAACTTTGCAATCTTTACTGCATAAGTTCAAAACTGAGGATATGAAATCATTGCCATCGGATGAGATGGTGTTGTTTTAGGGATTGTGCAGCGTAAGGAGACATGTAATTTAGTGATTGTAGTTTAGTACAATCATCTTTTCTGATTTTAGGAGCAAAATGTAGTTGAAAGATTTCTTATTTGCCCAGTAAATTTTCAGGCTGCTAGAATTAGTCCTTAGTGCTAAATGAACTGCCTGAATACAAGAAAAATGGGATAAGACAACATACATTTTGCGGCATTCATCGTATGCATGTTGCTAAAGATGATATTTTGACGATAGGCATTTTGTGCATGTTACAAAATCCATTATTTGACAGCACTTTTATATTAGCTTGTTTAGAAGAGTGTGTTTGAGTCCCACACTGACTAGGTACGCTCAAGTCTACTGGTTTATAAAATGGGGTAATCCTCTCATTCAATAAGGTCTTATTGGGTGAGGAGTCAGACCTATCTCAAATTCTATCAGAATGCACTGCATTTGAATGCTTGTTTGGATTAAAAGTTTGATATATCTTAGATTTTATTTGCTTTTCTTTTTTACTTCTTTTTGTTTAAAGTTGTGAGAAAACATCATGGCAGGAGTTTAATCCCATATTGTCTTTTGTTTTGACAACAGAAGAGTTACCTTCTTGGCTCTGGTTATGTCTTCGTGTTCTTAGTTTTTCTCGACTAATATTGTATCAATACATGAACGTAAAACTTGTGCAGAGCTGAGACGTCGATGAGGCAGAAGTTTTTTAATGTTTGTTTCCTAAATGGATGAAATTTAAAGTAACAACTGGGCTTGATTCTGTAATTTCCTGGCACTTGACATGGGTATCCAATCTTTGGTTTTCCCTTTTGTAGATTTGTTTTCTTCCAAAAGTCAAGATTGATATTATAAGATCAAGAACAAGAAGTTGAGTGTAAACTCAAAAGATTCCTTATCTTTGATTCATAGTATTAGATTTCAATAAGCGTAATGGTTATTGAGAATCATATTTGGAATATTACAACTTTATATATGGATTCAATATACGCACAGCTAGCAGGATTAACCAAGCTTCTGAAGCAGCCAAAATTAGATGAGATTATCAAGAAAGTTGTGGGTCTAGGAATTTGTAAGTGATGGCAACACTAGCTATGAGAAACTGGACCCTTTTATTGAGGATTCTCATTCTCTTATATTCAGCTTCTTGTATAGCAATACTTGTTACCATTGTTTTAAAATCCAACTCGTTGTGAGACTTGGCAAGGTGACTTGGTCACGGGTCAACCCGTCCAGCCGGTTGGACTAATGATGTCAGTAGTAAAAATATTTTTAGAAAATTGTTAATTACTCCTTTAAATTTTAATATATTAAAAATAAACCTACAAAATTGTAAAGTAGGCTTTGAAATTTTAATCTATTTAAAAAATGCCCCCAAACGATTAATTAGTTCGTAAAATTTTGAAATATTTCAAAAATACCCCCATACAATCACAAGTAGGTCCCTATAACTTTTAAAAATATCAAAAACCGGAGAGAATATCAGGTCCTGGTCCGACAAGCTGGTCTGGTCCGGGGTTTAAAACAATGCTTGTTACTGATATTGTCAAGCTTCTTGATGGTTCAAAGATACATCACCTAAAGATTTTTATTTTGGCTTCAACAATTATTTATATCCACAAGTTAAACATTTGGATAAACAAATTAAAACTTGCAGATATGTCCTGCTACTGCTGTTATTGACGGAGCAATAATTACACGATCGATGTTTAACCCGTTATTCAAGAGTGGATGTCTGCATTTTTATATTACAAGACAGAAATACACTATCTAGTTTTTGTTTTGTTTTCAGATATGAGTTTCCTTTTAGCATCAGGAGTTGGAGCTGGATTTGCAGTGAGCTCTGAGTTGAAATCATCTATGGAAGATTATGTGAATGACCTTCAGTTCTGGTTCGAAGACACAAAGGGCTTCAGTCTGGAACTGATATTTTCTGAACACAGATTTATATAGCCATGGCTTCTCTTGTTGTTTCATATGTATGGCTTTACTTTCAGTATTTAATTTCCCCCATTCGTCGAAGACCTCTTTTTTGTTTCAATGAATTAAATTCATTCACAAAAGGTAGGTACAAAGGCACTGAGTAGTGAAGACTGAAGATGAAGAACATAATTGCAGAACTCTGAAACATAGGCCCATCAGGCCCTTAGATAACCCATTGGTTCTGACTAGTCTCATAACAAACACATTTTGCCCTCTAACTACTCGATCGATCGTACACGAGAGAATCTTCAAGGGACAAATATATATATAGATGAGGGAATTCTCAGATGAATATACATCAATTTTAATGGCTAAAGAGATGAAATAATGAGAAGTTTTAGTAGATCTGATGGGTAAATGCATATACGTCTGTTTAATTATTATAGTGTTAGCGTAGCTTGTCATGGTCAGGAATGTAACCAGGATATTTAGTGACGGGTTTAAAACATTTAAGTTGAATAATTTACAGTAAAATTATAGGGTTAATATGAATTTAAACAGGGTCAAAATAGTAAATATTATAAAATATAAAACCTTTTTTTTTTCATAGTTTAATAGGCTCAATGTGAATTAAATGGAATCAAAAATGTAAATATCATAAAATAGAAAATTTTTTTTTTTCAAAGTTTTAATGTGTTCAATTAAACGCATACGTTATTGTGCGGTACGTCTCTGATCATTGATATATATCAATGGTTCAGATCATGATCATGATCTAATGGTCACGTGATGTACCTTTATATATATATATATATATATATATATATATATATTATATATATATATATATAAAAACAGATGTAAAATGACCAAAATAACCCTAACAAGTTCATGTATAGATATCTTTCTTTTTCACATACAGAAGGCAAATAAAGAGAAGGATGGCAAGTAGAATAATGAGGAGGGTGCATGGGATGATGGATGATAATGAAATGAATCAGTAGCCGTTGATTTATGAAAGCAGGATTAATGATGCTAATCACGGTTTGTCATCATGCTATTGCTAGCCATGCAGATCAATTAATGGTTTCTAATCAAGAGCTGTCAATTCCGTACCATTATTTTTTCTAATTATTCTGACACACTTTTATTTTTGGTTCTTGGTATTATGGATTTTTTGTTCTTGTCATCATCTTCTGTAAGTAAGGATTTTAACTCATCATATTTAATTATTCATTCAAACATCATATCATTCAAACGGCTTACAATAGTTTTCAAAACTTTATACCATTTTTAATTTATTTTTGAACGCTAATTTTATCGGTTTAAGGATTAGAGTTTAAAGATAGATATATATGTATACACGGCTTAAATTCGATCTTCATCTAAGTATTGTGATTAAGTAGAGGATAGTGACAGTAGATTACTGCGTTGGTCTCTCCCGAGGATCGTGAGGTGCCCCTAAGTTGGTTCCGACACTTTGGTTAAAAAAGAAAGTTATAGAACATATTATGTTATTATATATAATTTTAACTATTCAAAATGTTTAGATTGAGTGACAAAAAAATAGTGTAAGAAGATAATATGATGTTGTAAATCTTCGGTATGTATAAAATAATTTTTTTTTTAATAAAATCCAATTATAATATGATTGAATTTTTGTGTTTTGATTTTATCGAAAAAATAGGTTTTTTTGTTCGCCCTTGAGACACGTAAGTAAAAGACGCCCTAACAATTTTTAAAAAGTATTAATACCCCTAAAATTCAATTATACCCTAGAAAATATCACAAACCCGAGAAAAACTTACATAAAACAACCTCACCACCTTACTTGGTTGATACGGTGTGATTGTCCCGGAAAACAAGAACATGTATTGTTAATTTTCAAAACGTTCTTATGGTGGTGGTCCTGATAAATGATAAGAAAGAACATGTATTGTAATTTTCAAAACCATTCTTATGATGGTGGTCCTTGATAAATGATAATAGACGTAGTTATTCATGCATGAATCATTCGATAAATATGTAACAATACATGCTATTATATCATCAGACAATTTACTATGTCTTGCAAGAGCATATGAAATTTAATTGAGCTTATAAGTAGTAGTAGATCTTAAAATTTAGCTGAATACGTACAAACTGTTTTGATACCCCGAGTACTAAAAAATAAAAACAATTAACCCACCTTGATACGATCTGTGAGGGATTTGTATTTTAAAATTTATAGAAAAGATAAAATAATATAATAATAAGACAAAAAAGAGGGGGAGGGGGAGGGAATAGGAATAGTGATTCAAAGGTAAGAAAGTTCACATGCTCCTGAAATTATAAAAAGCTTGCATGAAAAAAGGATTTAAAAAAGCTTTGAAATTTGGCTTCTGGTTGGCCTTTTGTTATAGTCTTTCTAGATGAAAGATAACAAACAACCACCACCCACGATGAAAATTAATCAGCTTTTTCATATTCAAGTAACCCGAGTAAATTTCTCGTCCTAAATCTTGAGAAAAAAAGGGGTTTGAATGGTCTGTCACAAATAGAAAGATGCTGCTAGTTCTGTCCCCCCTATGGCTCTGATTTTGATGAAAAAGGTTACATAGAGAAAGAGACTTGAGAGTAATGAAATTGATATGAGAATGAGAGAGTTTGTTTGCGTCTGTGTTGGGTTCTGTTGTATTTTGAGGAGGAGTGGATCAGTCATCTCTGTCATTAACCCCCCTCAGCTCTTAAATCTTTGGCACTGAAAAACATGGGTTTTGCAGCTTTACATTAATTGTGAGACCAGAACTGCAGGTAGAAAAAGAATACCTTATTCTCTCTCTCTATAGTATTCATATTTATGAAAGTTTATGTTATAAAATTTTCTTCAGAACATTTCTTAATGCTGAGTGAAACAGGTCACCTCTAAATTTTCTGACCTCCTCAGCCAACAAAGATCTCCAAATAGTCCAAATGGATAATCCAAAACTTGTGGCAATTTTTCTCTCACCTCATTCAATGAAATAGTCTCCCATTATTATTGCTAGTTTCAATGGTAACCCAGAACCACTTTTCATTCATTAAACAAATTAATCAACCAATAAGAACACATTACACAAATTTCATAACACCCCACTTGGTATTTTACTAAGAAAAAGATTAACATAAGCTTTTATAATTATAACTAATTTTATGGATGATCATGAAATAGTACAGTTTTTCCATTGTCTTTGTTTATTACTTCACCTTCTGTTGCTGCTGTTGTTGTTGCTGATGAAATGTAACTTAAAGCCAAGGATTTTTCATGGTGATCTGGCGGCATTCTTGTTTGGAACTGTTGCTGGCAATTATAGCAAGTGATTCTCAACATTGTAGAATTGATTTGTTTAATTGCATGTTCTTTCAAAGATTGAGCTTTTTCCAGTTGAGTTTGTGCTTGTTGCCTAATCCTTTTCGCATTCGCAAACTCTTGTTCGGCAAGCTCAATCTGCCTCTTCGCCGCCTCTCGCGCTTCTTCTGCATAAGCTTTCTCCGCCATCGCCATTCTCAACTCTTTTCGCGCTTGTTCCTTCACACTGGAAGCCACCATTGTTGTTTTCTTCTCATTTGTAGTACTTTCCCTCGGAGAGTTAACCATTTTGCCACCATCTTTTGATTCATTTTTATGATCACTAAAATCTGATGAACCGATTGAGAGCTGCAACTGGGTGGAATGATTATCATCAATCTTTGGAGAAACCGAGGCTTCAAGAGAGCTTGAAGTGGTTAAAAGCTGAAGCTCCAAATTGTGATAATTTGCATTCTTCTTTGAAGGCCTTTGATGATTATCTTTACTAGGGCTCAAGAAAATGGCGTCAATTGTCGGCTTTGGCACAATCAAATTAGGCCACGGCGAGGTGCTGAAATTGGTATCACTGGAGGGGCTTCGGCTGGAAGCAGTTCTCGACAAGCAAGCCGGCTGTAGGGCTTGAGGCTCCGGCCGCAAACGCCCCATGCTGCAAGCATCTTGGTGCTCGATGAAGCTCTCAACTCTATTAAAAAGGAAAACAAAAGATTAGTACATAGATATCATAATTCCACGTAGCGAAAAAGTATAACAAAAGAAATATTCAAAAAGGGCAGCTTGATTTATCCCTTGGTGGTGGCTTTATTGATGAAGATAAGTATTAAGAAACAAGATTAAGAGGAGATCCAGCCATTGTTATTATTATTAAGATATGAAATATATAAAAGAATGCATAAACAAATGGTTTGAAAATGAACCGACTGGAGTTGAAATAGTAAAAAGTTTATATATATATATATGTAAATGGAAGAAGAAAATATTAAAAAAAACATGCAAATTAAACTAGAGCTAATCATTTAACACATAGATCATCACAATGGGAAGCTAGAAAACTACACGAAATGAAGAACTGTTTTATATGATCTTTGGGAAGACATTTTGATGAAGATGATATTTTGAAAACATGTTTTTGTTTCCGGGTAATAAAATTGATAGAATCTAGAAATCAAGAAGGCTATAGTAGAGAGATACGAATTGATTGTACCACTGCTGATAATAACTTTTACAAAAAGTAAAAGAAAAAAGTGGAATGCAATGACAGACAGAACAAAAATATTAACTCTAGAAATATAAAGTTAAAGTGAATTGAATTGATTGTAGTGATTATAACCTTGAGAAAACACGGCCACAATCACAGGAATGGCCTCGGGTGCCACAGGTTTTGAGATGAGCTTTGTAATCCGATTGAACTGCATACCCTTTTGAGCATTTCTCACACACCCATTGCTTGTGATTGCTGTGTTTTCGCCTGAAGTGTTTCTTGATTCCCACCAAATCGCCGAGGGCGTGGCATGGGTCGTGGTGCAAACAGGTAGGCTCCGGGCACACAAACACTCGCTTTCTCACCACAGGCGTCTCCCTCTTCAGCAGCTTCCATGGAACCTTGTGTCTTCTCCTATGCATCTGCAAGTTTTGGTCTCGCTGAAACCCCTGGTTGCAGATCTCGCACACGTAACGATCCGACTCCAGGAGCGTTTTCGGTGACAAAGAAACCACTTCCGCGTCCGGATCTACACAGAGAAGACGTTTGGTTATTCGAAAACATTATCTATATACGAATACATCATAGATAATAATTTGAAAGAAGAAATATATTTTAACGTACCCGGAGTTCCGGCCGGTCTTCTTTTCCTCTTGTTATTGTGACTCCCATTCTCCAAACAAGAAAACGGCTCAGCAGAAGGAATTGAAGAAGAAATATTATTGGTTAACATGATTAGAAATTAAACTACTCTTGTTTATGATGAACTAGCTATATATATATAACATAATCTTAAGAGTCAAAACATAACTAAACAAAACAAAAGATTTAGAGATAGAAAGAGAGAAGGAAGAGGTAGAAAACTAGGAAGAACATGAAAGGAGCAGCAGAAAGAAGCTTTTTTCTCTGTGTCTTTCGGTTGATATTCAGCTTTGTTTTAGGCTTTTAAAATAAGATTTTTGAGCTTTTTGGTAGATAGCTTTTCTTTTCTTTCCTTCTTTCTTCCTTTGTTTCAGAGTTTTTTCAGGTCTCATCTTCACCAGGTGTTAGTGTTTTGTTGTGTTGAAGAGTGTCCTTAATTATAAACAAGAAAGAAGAGAGAGTGTGAGAGAGCCAATCACAATGCTCGAAACTTGATCCCACAAGCTGAAGAAGATGGGCCAGAATGTAAAAAAAAATAAACATCCCCCGCACAAAGAAACAAACCCTCATAATAATTCATTTCTACACAGAATATATAAAGAATGAAATTTTAATTTTTGCATGCATAAATACTGACCACTCTCTTCATATTTATGTATCACGTAAGCTCTCTCTGACTCTATCTATTTTTGTCACTCTCTTTAAGCCCCCGTTTTCTGATTTTAAAGATAATTCTTTTTGGTCCCTAAGGTTTGGCCTAAATACATTAAAATCTAGCATAATTTAAAATTACATTCAAGTCCTTATTAGTTCAATAATGAGTGGTGGTGATTGGTGAACAATATGGTAATCCAATAACATGACACATCGTTTAGGATATTAATTTTGTAATATCTTTCGGGACGTGTAGTGTTACTCTTATCGTGTGATAGCATGAAATACTTCTGACTGTTACTTTTAATTTTCTTATATCAACATAATCATTCAAATATTCAATGTTAGTTAATAGCTCTTTTCTATAATGTCGTCAATTTCTAATGTCATTTACATAGAGAAGATTAGGGGATTTTAGATCTTGAAAAAAATAAATTAAGCAACTAATAAGGACTTAAGTGTTACTTTCAGATTATAGGGACCTAAAGGATATAAACTAAATGTCAAAGGCGAAATGAATTTATCTCCAATTGTTTCATAAATATCTTGTGAGGATGTGAACTTACTAGAGTACCCCTTGCCGCTGAATTGAATTATATAAAGCAGTTTCTTTAAAGCATATGAAGATGTGATGTCACCGTCAAGGGTATAGCAGTCAATGGAGCATCATTCCTTGCTTTCGTAAAATGTAGTACAAATATTAGCTTCAATAACAGTGAATTTGAGCCCCCACGATTGAATCAATAGATGAAGAGATGGCGACATTTTTAGGGTTTTATTTCCCCCAAATATAAAACCAAAATAATAATAATAATAATTTAATAATAATAAAGAACTGAATTTTCACGTATATTGATTTGTGTTACGTGGATGATAAAATTAAAGTGAGGAAAATTGTGGTTAAGATTTCTCATTATCAATTCTTTATTTGCTATAATTTAGAATTTAAATCAGCCCCTTATATTTGAAATGGTAAGCAATTATATATTTGATTAAAGTACTTATAAGTGATGATAAAAATTAATGTGTTTGGTAATGGCTTATAAATACATTTTATTATAAAATGACTAAAAATGGTATCACATTAAACAAGGGATACTATGAAATTTTAAAATTAAATAAGGATAATGTGATAATATACTTGATCAAACTAACTTATAAGTGAAAAAAAAAAAAAAAAAGACCACCCCCCAATTATTTTTTTGGGTTTATAAGCTCAAAAAAGTTATAACAAACATATCGGCTTAATTTTAAAACTTATAAGCTAGTTTGACCAGTTTATAAGCTAGACAAACACCTCATAGTAACACGTATGTATTATGAGAATTTATAGTTTAGAATTCACATTTACATTTCTATATATTTATTAAGATAAAGCTCATATCATTGGAGAAATCTGATCTTAGATTTGCGATGTCTAATATATTTTTTTTAATTGATCAAAAAATCATAAGAAGTTATAGTTTGTTATTGTTTATGCAGGTTGAGATCTTCAATTTGATTTAAAAAAAATTATATTTTATAGCGACATTTCATAACTCTCTACGCAATTAGATTAATAACGATTGAATGGGCAAAAAAGTAACTCTAGTTTTTAAGTGAATATATATATATGATATATATATATATATATATGGAACTTATGGACAATATAAGAGAAATTTGTGGCAATTTAATTAAATTTTAAAAATCTATTTAATTAAACTCAAAATAGTGAATTCCAATTAAAGGGCCTTCAAATTCAATCATTTCAAAAGTCATGTCCCCTATTGGCAGTTGAAACTGAAATAATTAAAAAGAACCTAAATTAAAGTAACCAATTAGATGATGGTGGCAAAAGATCTGCTAAAAAGTGATAACCCATGTCGGTATGCTTTCGAAAGCTAATGAAGAGAAGAGATAATCACAATATAATATACAGTTACTAAATTATAATGTAGTAAAATTAATTTTTACTATCTCTTTACTTTGACGTGCAAGGTAAGGTTAAAACTTATCATCGCTTCAAACAAAAATGACTTTAATACCAAGTAAACAGATTAGATAAAACTTATTTTCAAAAACTAACTCAAAAAAAAAGAAAAAATCCTACAATTACTCTATATATATATATATATGCTCATTAAAACTTTCATTTAATTTAGTAAAAGTATTATATATTTAAATATTAGAGGAGATCTGTCTTCGCGAGTGTGTAATAACTGTAGCTTTGTATTGAGTCAATCCAATGCATGGCCTAAAAATAATACACAAAAATGATAGCATCATTCATGACACGTAGCAGTAAACAGAATATACCAGATAATCGGAGCCACTAATTATCTAATAATCTATTTCCTTTATATTCACCTTTGCGAATCTACTTGTATCAAATGTCTCTATCATCACAACGTTGCTTCTGGTAGGTTTTTCCTTTAAAATTAGAGAGAACTTTATGGGTCTTTTAATTGTAAATCAATAAACAAAAAATGTAAATTTAATTTATAAAATAAAAATTTCATTCGTAAGTGAAATAATGGATTGAAATTTTTCTTTATATTATACTTAGAACATATAAAGTTTATTCGAATTTTAACAAAATACTATTTGAATTTTTTTTTTTTTTAAAAAAAGGACAACTATTCAAGAATTTTCGATATACACATATATAGTCAAATCTCGCGTTTGTCATAAATTTGCTAACTTTTTATAATATTAGAAACTAATGATTCAGCATCACTTGATTATACGTTAAAATTCAATACGATTATATCTATGAATTTTTGTGTAAAAATTAAATTTTTTTTTTTTTTTTTTATAATTGGAGTGTTCAACCAATTTATAATATCTGACTAGTTATGGAGCCTATTGACAATGACCCACTACAAAGATATTAGGTAGATTGTAGGATAGTTGTGGAAGGGGAGGAAGGTGATAAAATCTCAAGGAGAAAGAATCTAAGAAAGAGAGTAACATTGGCCTCTTTTTTTGGTGGCTGCGGTGCCGGCTTCTAAAAGATAATTGTAGGCCCCATTTTACTACCTCTCGTAATAATTTCACCACCTCACCTCACCTTTATTAATCTCCCTAATTATACTTTATTAATTAATTACTTATTAACACTACCTAATTTAGAAAACTATAATGAAATTTAAAATGGAAAATTAATAATTACCAGGCTTTCAATCTAGTTTTTTTTGTAGATATATATGCATTTTTTTCTTTATTTATTAATTATATGAGTTCACATGTTTTTTAAATCTATTGGGTTCTTAATAATTAACAATTTTTATCAACTCTTCTGTTTGAGTACTATTAAAGATATATATAAATCACTAGTTTTGCGTCGAACGGCAAAACTTTAGTCGTATGAGTTGATTATCTAGAGATTTTTATTCGAGTCCTATAAGTGTCACCTTATCAATTTGTGAGTTATTTGATCTATTAGTTTAGAGTGTTTAATAACTTCAGAGATTAGTTGAGACGACAAACTGGTTGGACAACTGGTTATAAAAATAAAAGATATATATAATTGTCATGGACGAACATTCTAAGAAAAAGAGAACGAACGACTAAATGGAACTAGGTCTTTAAATTAACATGCGTTGAACGGACACGTTAACATAAATGATTCTTAATAGGATGATAAAGAATAAAGAAATAAATAATAAAAGCAACTAGTAAGTAATTAAGGAAAAAATGATTAGATTGGGGATTAACACTAGGGGAGATGATTACAAAGGACATTGCTGCATGTGTTTCCGAATCTGACTCTCATCATCCTCCCATTCCTTCCTTTCTTTTTTAACCTTTTTTCAATTTTATTTAATCTTTAATTTAACTAGTATAGATTAAGCAGCAGCTTTGTTTAGCCTTTTCATTTGTTTAATTTATCAATTAATTATTATAATATTTTCCCCATTCATCATCAGCGAGGCCGCAGACAACTTTTACCTCCTTTTTTTTTAATATTTTTAATTAACTACTTAAATATTCAATTTTTTGACTTGGGATTCGAAAATTATAATTATACGAGTTAATTAATTAAATTTATATAATTTTTTTACAGGAGTTCTGAACATTTATTATAAAACCGAAAATCGGGTGTTATATTAATTAATTAATTTTTTTTTGTGACCGAGTATCTGAACCATTTTGCAATTCGAATAATACCAAAACCATTGAAATCTTACAAATTTAAATAAGTAAGGTACTCACAAATATAGTATAATTTAGTCATTTAGGGACTCGACACAAGACCTTAGAGAACTAAGGTTTACCATACACCACAAACAAGTGGTTACGCTTAATCTATTTGCATTTTATGGCCTGTTTAGATTTTAAGGTCCAGTAGTATATTTTGCCATAATAATTCAGCCAGTTAGCAAAATAAGCTATTAATATAACCTTTAGGTTACTATCCTTCACCTCTCTGGGTTTGATAATAGGTCATTGACACCCCACGTGTATGAAACAATGAGACTAATTTGCCCCAATTTCAACAATGTCAATGACCTCCCATAGC